CTGTGCAAAATAACACGAAATGATCTTTTATTGTACATATAAATATCGGTGTACTATTTTCAGTAAAGAAAAAGAAATATGCAAGTTGGGGACTCGAATGCAATGCAAACAAACTATAAAAAATATTTTCCTTTAATTTCATCTTGTTTTCTTTTTTTGGGAACAACCGAACTAAAGAATTATATCAAACGCTGGTTTTTGTGTAATCAAATGTTAATGAAATAACGAAAAAAATGCACTCTAATTCAAAACGAAGAAGAGTTAAAATATCTTAATCCCTAATATATTTTATATCTAAAAAAGTAACTTATTCAAAAGCAATTTAAAAAACTGATTGTTAACAACAGGGCATTATTTTGGATAAAAAGAGGAAATATTGGTGTTTTTAGACAATGAGACCATTAAAATAAATAAATCATTGCTTATCTTATTCAACACAAACAAAAGTTTAAGTTTCTTTATCCTTATATTATTCATATCTTATACAAAATCATCTATATAAAGGCATTAATAATGACTGATTGCAAATGACATTACATTATGTCTGATATAAAAGAAGAAATATTTGCAATTTTGATCAATACGATCGAAAGTTTTAGTATCTTTTCCCTGAATTTCAGCATACTTATGAAATACAACCAATCATGATGTACAACACGCACTAAATTGAAATTGCAATTAATGATTTGGCAAATAACTTTGCCTTATTGTGGACCTAAAGAAGAAATATTGGCATATTTAATTAATGCGAACACAATTTTACTTTATTATCTCTTATATATATTATTGTTTGTACAATACATGCCATCCTGATGTACAAACAGTACTTAAATCAAATGGAGGTTCATGATTTTTATTAAAATAATGATATAATTGCATTCATATTCAACACAAACAAAAGTTAAAGTACCTTTATCCTTATATTATTCACATTTTATATACAACTGATGATCTAGAGACATTTATAATGACTAATTGCAAATGACATTGCATTATTTCTAATATAAAAGAAAAAATATTTTCATTTTTAAGCAATGCGAACAAAATTTAAGTATCTTTTCCGTGAAATTCAGCATACTTATGAAAAACAGCCAATCATGATGTACAAAAAGCGATAAAACTAAATGAAGGTTGATAACTTGGCAAATAACATTGCATTATTTTGGATAAAAAGAAGAAATATTGGCATATTTAATCAATGCGAACCAAATTTTACTTTTTTTTTTCCTTATGTATATATTATTATTTGTAAAATACAACCCATCCAGATGTGCAAAAAGTACTAAAAAAATGGTGGTTAATAATTTTGGCAAAACTCGTTGCCTTGTTTTGGACCACAAGAAGAAATTTTGGCATATTTTATCAATGTGAACAAAATTTTAGTATATTTTCACTGAAATTCAGGATATTTTATAAAACAAAAAGAAAAACAACAAATCCTGAAGTACAAAAAGCACTTAAATCAAATTGGAGGTTAATAATTTGGCAAATAACATTGCATTATTTTGGACCGAAAGAAGAAATATTGGCATATTTAATAAATTGTGAACACAATTTTTACTATATTTTCTCTGATGTATATCATTATTTATAAAATACAACCAATCCTGATGTACAAAAAGCACTAAAATCAAATGGCGGATAATGATTTGGCAAATCAAGGTAACATAACATCCTACAATTTTAAAAGTATGTCTTGTTAAACACTGAAAAATAACTTAATACCTTTGATGTCTATAATAGTTGTGTAAGAATTTGTACTACGACTCAAGCGACCTACATTGTAAGATGCATCAACGAAAATTCCAACAATTAATATGTAAATGATATTTTAATAAATTGATATGTGTTACTAAATATTTATGAATCTGAAAATTTAACAATAAAACAAACTATGAAAAGATGTCATAAACGGAAAGAACCTTAATTTGTCTTACTCGATTTATGAGATTTTAACATTGATCAACAACGACAGTATTGGTCTTTAATCAGATAATAAAGTGGAACGTATAAAAATAACAGCTACTTATTAGGAAGATGGTCATATTTTAAAAAAGATATAATGAGTAATTTTCCACTACAAATTTATTACAACAATATTCCTGTGTTCATGCAAATATAACCTCCCAAAACACAACAGCTGCATGTATCTATAACACCATATTGACAAAAATAACAGTTACAGTTGTCAATTATGGTTTTGATGTAACACCTGTTTGTAATCAGAGTTATATATCAAGAAGTCTCTAACTGGACTTTAGAAGACTGAAGGATTTGATCTTTCAATATTCTATTCTAGGTTTTTATATTCTACCTTCAGTTTTTGTCTTTTAATTCCTATATTTCGTAGTTTGCATTTTGATTGAGTATTCGTACATTTATAACCGTTCTGTTCAACCTTTAAAATATATTTAAAAGTTTAGTTCATAAATCGTATACAGGCTTTCATTGTATCATAAGACATGTAGTAAAACTTAACATACAATTAAATACAGGAACACTGCAGCTATGTTGTATTCTCAGTAGATGGTCTAGGATCAGGGTATTTTTGTCATTTCTGTCTTACATCTTGTACAAAAATTATGTCGAAAATGTTTAGATCACCTTTGAACGTGTCCATCTGAACTATATGTACATTGGAAAGGTGTTCATGCACAATCAGAGGATACAGACTAGATGTCGTAAATATCTAGATTCTGCGAAACATATAAACTTGTACACATTTTAAATAATTCACTCAAAGGTACAGATACAAAAAAAAACATTTAAAGAGTGGTATTTAGAGAAAGATGGTTATTTGGATTTGAGAAATTAATGACAAAAGATATAACATATCGTCTATCTTTGTTGGTAAAAGACAGTTGTATAGTTAAAAGTTTTATAGTTCTTCCTTTATCACCTTTTTTATGCGATTTGAAAGTCTGTATGTTAACATAATTTGCGTTGATAGTTAAAAAAAGTTTACTGTTTAGAATTTGCTTATGATACAAGGGTTACCACAAAATAACATTAATACAAATAATGTGTACCAAAAATAACAAGTTTTAAAGGGATAGTGAAGATGACTGAAATGTATACCCAACAGCTTCTTTATCAATAATTAATCTTGGCCATTTATATAGACACCATGAAGAAACGATTCGTAATGAGCTATGCTCCGAGCTAAAGGAAAGATTAGGTACAATACCTATGCCATACATTTTGTATTACAACCATAGGGTGTTGCTGTGTTCATTGCCTTAATAGATTAGTCTTTGTGTTTGTCTACTGAGATGTTTTATGATAGGGAATGTTTGTTCTGAGATACTTATGTTTCAGAATGCGAACGCGCATAAAAATGATTAAATATTTAGTATGATTTAAATGTTGATTCAAAATATGTTTTCTTTTTTCTTATGTGTGAAAAAAAGAGAATGGTAGTTCCCCAGAATTTGTTTCACGCAATTTGGATTTCAATAGTACATATGTAGTAGGTTGATATTTACAGAATCAAAGCTATATTCATAAAGCATTAGTTGTTGGAAAATGTGGCGTAATTTTGATCATGTAATCATATTATAAATGGCTAAATAATATTAAATATTAGATACATTAACAACAAAACATGAATTAAAGACAGCCACATACATATATGGAGGGGTTGAACATAATTGCGGTCTGTCATCCCCTCCTCTTTCCTCTTTCCCGCTTACATGGAACAATGTATTTATAGTACAGTACTTGCAACCCTAGGCGTTACTATTTTAGCGATTAATCAGCGGTCATCGATTAGTCACCGATCAGTCAAGTTCGCATCAAACTCACGTCAGCAATCCGTCAGATTCATAGTAAAAATATTTGACTGATCGGACAGATCGGACGGATTGACCTTTCTGGCGGATTGAACTCTACTACGTCATATGTTGTACTTATACAAATTACGGAATCTTAGTTTTGTTTCATTTAATTAATATGGCGTCACGGAAAGTATGACTTTTTAAAGTACAGAAGCTCGACATGTTATTATTAATCATTCAAAAAAAAATTTAAGAATAAAAAGAGAAGAGCAATATGCAGATTAAACTTAATTTGAATATTATTAAAGAATTGTGATTGTCGTTTATAATTAGGTTATGTTTTTCAAACTTGATGAGTGCTAAAAAACGATGTTTTTTTCGAAAATGCTGTGCAAAATAAAACGAAATGATCTTTTATTGTACATATAAATATCGGTGTACTATTTTCAGTAAAGAAAAAGAAATATGCAAGTTGGTGACTCGAATGCAATGCAAACAAACTTTAAAAAATATTTTCCTTTAATTTCATCTTGTTTTCTTTTTTTGGGAACAACCGAACTAAAGAATTATATCAAACGCTGGTTTTTGTGTAATCAAATGTTAATGAAATAACGAAAAAAATGCACTCTAATTCAAAACGAAGAAGAGTTAAAATATCTTAATCCCTAATATATTTTATATCTAAAAAAGTAACTTATTCAAAAGCAATTTAAAAAACTGATTGTTAACAACAGGGCATTATTTTGGATAAAAAGAGGAAATATTGGTGTTTTTAGACAATGAGACCATTAAAATAAATAAATCATTGCTTATCTTATTCAACACAAACAAAAGTTTAAGTTTCTTTATCCTTATATTATTCATATCTTATACAAAATCATCTATATAAAGGCATTAATAATGACTGATTGCAAATGACATTACATTATGTCTGATATAAAAGAAGAAATATTTGCAATTTTGATCAATACGAACGAAAGTTTTAGTATCTTTTCCCTGAATTTCAGCATACTTATGAAATACAACCAATCATGATGTACAACACGCACTAAATTGAAATTGCAATTAATGATTTGGCAAATAACTTTGCCTTATTGTGGACCTAAAGAAGAAATATTGGCATATTTAATTAATGCGAACACAATTTTACTTTATTATCTCTTATATATATTATTATTTGTACAATACATGCCATCCTGATGTACAAACAGTACTTAAATCAAATGGAGGTTCATGATTTTTATTAAAATAATGATATAATTGCATTCATATTCAACACAAACAAAAGTTAAAGTACCTTTATCCTTATATTATTCACATTTTATATACAATTGATGATCTAGAGACATTTATAATGACTAATTGCAAATGACATTGCATTATTTCTAATATAAAAGAAAAAATATTTTCATTTTTAAGCAATGCGAACAAAATTTAAGTATCTTTTCCGTGAAATTCAGCATACTTATGAAAAACAGCCAATCATGATGTACAAAAAGCGATAAAACTAAATGAAGGTTAATAACTTGGCAAATAACATTGCATTACTTTGGATAAAAAGAAGAAATATTGGCATATTTAATCAATGCGAACCAAATTTTACTTTTTTTTTTCCTTATGTATATATTATTATTTGTTAAATACAACCCATCCAGATGTGCAAAAAGTACTAAAAAAATGGTGGTTAATAATTTTGGCAAAACTCGTTTTGGCATATTTTATCAATGTGAACAAAATTTTAGTATATTTTCACTGAAATTCAGGATATTTTATAAAAAAAAAAAAAGAAATACAACAAATCCTGAAGTACAAAAAGCACTTAGATCAAATTGGAGGTTAATAATTTGGCAAATAACATTGCATTATTTTGGACCGAAAGAAGAAATATTGGCATATGTAATAAATTGTGAACACAATTTTTGCTATATTTTCTCTGATGTATATCATTATTTGTAAAATACAACCAATCTTGATGTACAAAAAGCACTAAAATCAAACGGCGGATAATGATTTGGCAAACCAAGGTAACATAACATCCTAAAATTTTAAAAGTATGTCTTGTTAAACACTGAAAAAAAACTTTATACCTTTGATGTCTATAATAGTTGTGTAAGAATTTGTACTACGACTCATGCGACCTACATTGTAAGATGCATCAACGAAAATTCCAACAATTAACGTGTAAATGATATTTTAATAAATTGATATGTGTTACTAAATATTTATGAATCTGAAAATTTAACAATAAAACAAACTATGAAAAGATGTCATAAACGGAAAGAACCTTAATTTGTCTTACTCGATTTATGAGATTTTAACATTTATAAACAACGACACTCTTGGTCTTTAATCAGATAATAAAGTGGAACTTATAAAAATAACAGCTACTCATTAGGAAGATGGTCATATTTTAAAAAAGATATAATGAGTAATTTTCCACTACAAATTTATTACAACAATATTCCTGTGTTCATGCAAATATAACCTCCCAAAACACAACAGCTGCATGTATCTATAACACCATATTGACAAAAATAACAGTTACAGTTGTCAATTATGGTTTTGATGTAACACCTGTTTGTAATCAGAGTTATATATCAAGAAGTCTCTAACTGGACTTTAGAAGACTGAAGGATTTGATCTTTCAATATTCTATTCTAGGTTTTTATATTCTACCTTCAGTTTTTGTCTTATAATTCCTATATTTCGTAGTTTGCATTTGATTGAGTATTCGTACATTTATAACCGTTCTGTTCAACCTTTAAAATATATTTAAAAGTTGAGTTCATAAATCGTATACAGGCAAATGTATTTATCGATGGATTTTTCTAAAGTACATATAGATTATACTAATTTCTGGATAAATAATGGAATTATTATTTTTAAATGTACGATGCCAATCAAAGTCATATATAAGACAATGAATATACCAAAACTGGTTATACTGTTAAATAGATGTTGTTATACATGCATACGTCTAACGGAGTCCAGTAACATTTTTATAGACATCTTCTTTTCATGTTTACAATGTGAAAAGAAATTGTCCCACTGTTTTACTAAGAATGAAAACAGAAAATGCATTTGAATTCATTCAGTCATTGACACACGTAATCATCCTCGTCTAATTCATCCACTTCATCATATTCATGTTCCATACAAATGTCATAGTCATACAAAAAGTGGGATATAAACTTAAATGTTATTCGAGTGTCAGGGTCTTAAAACCAGCACATTAAGGCATGCTTATAGATTTCTTCGGTACAACATTCAGGTCTTTTGTGTGTGTAGTCCCATTTTATTATTTTAAATACCTCTGGATATTTTAAGTCTGAAAAAAACAAAAAAAGTTTTGTTCTTAAAAAATAGTATTTATAGAAATAAGAAGATATTGTATAATTGCAAATGAAACAACTCTCTACAAGAGACCAAATGAATCAGAAATTAACACTTATAGGTCACCGTACTGCCTTCAAAATCGAGCAACAGCCATACCGCAGAGTCAGGTATAAAGGGCCTCGAAATGAAAAATGTATACAAATTCAGTTATTATTAGATTGACATTTTCTAAGTATGATTAAAAAATCATTGTATAATAATAAATAAAATCCAAAAATCACGCAATCATATTGATACATATTGTAATTTAACCTTCTTTAACTTTTTGATGGACAATTTGTTTTTTCGGTGACCTAAGTTGAAAACTATTTCTAAATAGAAGAGGATCAAGTGAAAACTTTTTCAGGAACATGCTTTCGCACGGCACGCTAAGTTGTTAAAAAGTTAAAATCTGTAAATGCACCGTTTGTTTGCAGGGCATCACTCATAATCACGTACAAGTCTATATTGTAAGATGGCAATTAATTTCAGAAAATGGTATATATGTAGTATATCAATAAATATCCACGTTAGTGTTTTGGAATTGAGAACTAAAGGTCATTCAAATGAATTTACAAATTTGAAGAAAATAATGCTGGAAGCTATAAGATCTATCATAATTTTGAAATTCGTGAATGGGATTTGGCAAATGCGAAGTAAACATTGTCCAGCTATGGGGAATTAAATTCTGATTCTCAGCTAACGTGTTGTTTATACTATAGCCATTATATTAGGAAAATTCATTTAATTATTTTCTTTGTTAAGTCTTCCTTTCAAATTTTACTCATCTCTTTGACATTTTTTTCTTTTTATTACTAGTCCTTATTTTAAGTTGTTATTGTTTTTACAGTTTTTTTGAATATGTTGCACCACTGATGAGTCTTCTATTGGCAATGCACTATATCATCATAATAACATCATTGATGGATGAGTTTTTTCAACCTATATAACATTTTTGTATAACGCCATTATCTCAGACTAAACGTCGGCGACTGACTGGAAGATTGTCTCTGGTTGTGCTCGATATTTTCACAAAAAAAAAGTTAGACAAACAAAAACCCGTTATATATGTGGTGTATACATCCTGAACGAAAAAGTTTAAATACGACGTTAGATGTATCAAAACGTATAGCTTATAAAGGTTATTGAATACATACGAAATGTTATGACTATATGAATTGCAATTCTTTACTTATTTTAAACTGTGTTTATCTCATGTTCACTTTTTCATCGTTTTTAACAATAACATATAACTTATAAATTAACTCTGATGTTTAGATATTTTACCTTCATAAAGTTCTTTGCAGCTTCCAAACACTTCCATTAGCAGATCTCCAAAAGACCAGACATCAGCTTTGGTAGTTGCTTTTTTCCCTTCGATAATCTCTTGTGACAACCATCTAACCAGAGGAATTGTACCTAGTTAAGATTATATTTGTAAATGTTAATTTAATTTTCTATTTTAAACTTATGTTATGGTTATGTTATCTCTACATGAAGTTGCTGCGATCATCTCGAGTTGTTCTCCATTTCAACAATAGTACCTAAATAAAGGTGGAAATTAAAATTATACTGTATTTTAAATCTCTCACCCTAATATGTTTTTTACCGATAATTGCGGGTAATAGATTTTCTTCAACGTCGTACTATATTTGGTTTTATTGACATTTTTTATTCTAACCTTTTTTACAAGAAACGTGAGTATAGCGTACCATATTTTAAACAAAGGCAACAGCAGTATACGACTGTTCAAAAGTCATAAATCGATTAAGAGGAAACAAATCCGGGTTAAAAACTAAAACCGAGGGAAATATATCAACTATAAGAGAAAAACAACGGAAAAACAGCAACACTGAAATTCAACAACAAACGCCAACATACATAGAAACTTACTATATGATAACAATTACTATATTCCTATACAGTACATTTTAAGAAAAATGATGGGTTGAACAAGGTTGTATGGCTAGTCAAACCTCCCGCTAATATGGCAATGTTAAAAAAATATATCCTTAGAATGACAAGACTACGCGACATACAGTTCAAATAAACGCAAAAACACTCAGCATAGAGAAATGCATAGATAAATAATATAATAGTACATTACAACATATAAACCATTGAATAACAACGGACATCTCCCATTTACTACAGCATAGGACACCACCAACAGTGACGTATTTTTGTGTCGTATATAAAATCTTAAATTCATACAATTATATGGAACGAGATCCAAAAAAATACACAAATATTTTCACAATACTAGTCCAAATAATCATCATGATTATGATGGTCTTTAAACATATTAAAGGCAACTTCAAAGTAATGATGGGACGACGTCATAATTATTTGGACTAGCACAATTCTTTATCCATGGGAAACGGAAATTAACCCAACCATACTAACATATAAGACATATGTGAAATGTACCGAACATACAGAATTCAAACAACAAACAATCAGACATGAAACAATATCCAACGGACCTTACAAAAGAAACGTAATAACTAAATACATGAATGTGTGATGTATAAACCCCGAGACACGTCGTGTAGCAATGCGAATTCACACTCGGCAAAACAGTCATATTCGTGAAGAGGTCACCTTCGTTACTTAACTGACAGACGACGTAGATGGAAAATCCAAATTTAAGAAGTGGTAAAAACGTCGTTGGTAAGTTTAAACACAAACACATCGTATAGATCAACCAATTCGTGATTGTGTCCATAAAATTTACGGAGTGTCATTTTTTTTTTTATTTCTCCTCCTCATAACTTTGTAACTTGATGTGTTTCTTCTAAATCGATACTTGAGATCCGAATATTGTTTAAACAATTTCCTTCAGTTACGTATTCGTAACATCTCAAGAATTTACACCCGTTATTATATGATTGGTATCGTGACCTTTGCATTTGTATATTCATGCTCGTTTTAGGTGTTACTTACGTCTTCGTTTTCGATCTATTGTAAGGTCATTTACCATATGCGCAAACTTGAATCCACAATTTTTAAGGTTCCAATTTGATCCAAATAATATATTGTCTGCTATCAAATCGGAATGAATTTTCTTCCTCGATCCTAAAAAAATCGTTCCGTTTGCAATCTGGAACGAACATAATTAAATGCCAAATTACGGTGTGTTTTCTTTATCATTAAAAATCTACTGTTATGTTCCGGCAATCTCTGATTGGTTAAACCTTACAAGACTGTAAGGAAGTAGAGGTATCATACCTAATATATACCAATATCCACTTTTGCTGATAATAAACATGTATTCGATACTGCGATCCCATTGATATCATTTAAAAAATAATTAAATAACGTCTAACTCAGGAAAATTCACTCAGGCATATTTATATAATGTGACACATAAAAGAAAGATATGGATTAGATAAGATATCAATGAGACTGTTTATCCTTAGAATGATAAATGATGCAGTATATTTTAAGTTGTGTGGCTGTACATCAATTACCAATTCATTAAAAACAAGACAATATCAGATAAGGAAAGATCGAGGGCAAAAAATACATATTTATTTTGGATAGAAACAAATAAATAATAAACTATTACACTTACCTTAGATATCATTTCTGTCATATTCTTCATAGATGTGTCCATTGATACAGGTTCATTGAATATACTCTCTTTTAAGCTGTATTCCGTCAGATACTGTATGACAAGACAATATGGATGTTGCTCAATGCTTACTCCTGTCATTTTTATGACGTTTTCGTGAGATGCTTCCATCAAAATGTGTGCTTCTTTTAGAAAATCATCATGATCATTATTAATATTATTCTTCACGGCTACTGTAGATCCTTCAAATATCGCTGTAAATAAGAAAAGACTAATGAATAGTATATAATATTTACAAAAATAGTTTAATCTAATCCAGACATTGTAAACTATTAAGAGCCGCATCAAACATATGCGCTGTAGTTCTAGTTTTGGGACAATGAATAATTATATTTACCAATCCGGCACAAAGGGTCAAGTGCAAAATGTAACTGTAACAATGATTGAAACAGACATGACAGATATGGGAAAATTAGCACAATTTCGGAAAGCAAATGAGTGTTTTTTTCAACAAGAGATGTATACCATGGAATTATATACTTTTGTGTATACGCTTTATTTAAAAGAATGTAGATGTTACTACTTATAATCATGAATAATAGATTACTTTTTACAGAACTTTTTTCTTCGAAATTCAGTGACTAATATCAGGAATATTCGGACGAATAATCCGAGTAAATTGTTAAAACAGCAGATATTTACTTTCCCCTTAAAAAAGACCTAAAAACACCAAATAATTTTAATGTGACAATGTGAGTTTTTACCCTTTTTGTTATAAAAAAGAAAGTTTCATAAATCAAAACAATATGTGTTTTTGTTATACATGCACCTACGAGCTTAAAACATACCCTTCTAAACTCGTCCCGTATGAACAGCTTTCCTGTACAGATGAAATGATGATCTTTTAATTTTAGAACACAAATCTACAACAACAAATGTGTTTTAAATAATTAACCATTTTAAAAATGCATTAACAATTTGAAATCACTGAAACAACGATTTTTAAAAATATTTCTGTTGGACAATTTAAATACTCTTTGGCATTTTGCAATGATCAATACGATTTCTTGTTTTTCAATAACTTATAATATATAATGTTATCTTCTTAAAACGCGTATTCGAGAACAGGGAAAGTGCGGTTAAATCCGCGTATAACCTTACTGTCACTGATGACAAGAAATTGTTTGAAAAGAGCATGCCAATGTATTAAGATTGCTTCAGTTTTTCTCATACAATCTTTTTTTTATTTCTCACCTAAGAACTATGATTTTGTGTGTTGTTTAAGAACAATCATTCTTTTGTTCGGTTCAGCAATGTGGCCTTGCATATTTTCAGTGTCTCCATCTGTTTTGCACATATTGTTTTTAGTCTTAACTGCAACTGATCCCAGTTGCTGAATACGAATTACTTTTGTATTTGCTAATGTGATGTCGAAACGCTGCAATGAAGCTTTTGTTGTCTCTAATTTATGTTTGATGCTAGCCAACTCCTTGGTCATATTTTCTCCTGGTCCAAATTTCTTATTTGAAAAGTCGTAATTATCCACAGATTTAAGATGCTGAAGGAAATCTCCTAAATATTTTAGAATTTTGAGCGGTCCATCCTTCTGGGCGGAGTATGACTGTTTGCATTGGTCTATTTCAGATGATAGGTCCTTCTTTAGCACATATTCCAGCTGCAGCACTTTGGATTCAATTTCTTGCATGATTTCTGCTATCTCATAGATAACTTCATTTTCTTAAAATGTAAGTTTTTTTTTCGTTTCGTTCATTCATCTCTATCAGTTCTTTTACTTTGTTTTTCACATCTGTACATTGACGAGACATTTCGTTGGACGATGATGACGGTTGTCGTAATTCATTTTTATCCTCAACAATTTGACCTTTCTTTCTATAAACCTCGTAAACTGCTTGCAAATATAACCTCGTGCTGTAGCGTAAACTTTTTGCGTTTGTGTGCATCTGCACAAGGCATATATAATGGCTCTGTGCATTCCGTACACCAGGCAGCTGTGCCTTTGTCCACACCTCCTCTTTTGCAAGACTCGCATGGTGATTGAAATAGTAGTTGATAAAATTGAGAATGGAAATGGGGAATGTGTCAAAGAGACAACAACCCGACCATAGAGCAGACAAAAGCCGAAGGCCACCAATGGGTCTTCAATGCAGCGAGAAACTTCCGCACCCGGAGGCGTCCTTCAGCTGGCCCCTTATGTATATATGTATACTAGTTCAGTGATAATGGACGTCATACTAAACTCCAAATTATACCTACATCAAGAAATCGTTAAGCTGTAATGCATATTAAAACTTCCTAATTGGTATAATGCTCACTGTTTAAAGTGTATCCGTAAAGTTTTTGTATTTTGCATTGACATTCTTTACTTTAACTTCACATTACGCGAATAATATAATATTATGAATTATATATAACATGTTCATGAGGTATGTGTGTATCAGATTTGATAAAATTATATATTTAGCACATGAATAAAACAGATAAGAAAGGAAATTTTCACAACAGAATGTTGGTCTAAATTTCAGATTATGGTCTTTGCATGACTACGGTTAGCTTCTTTTCATTAAAAGGATGTTATTTAAGTGGCAAGTAGGACAATATAAGTGCAAACAAGGAGAATAAATGTGTCATCAGGAGTAAATAAATGCGCAATCAGACATTGTCAGAGAAATGTGTTCAGATTTTAACTATATAAGTGACCAGAGAAGAACCTACGTAACTGCAAAATATATTAGAAATATGATATACAGAGCATCATAAAGAACTTGACACTGGAAGTCGCAACTTACGTTAAGATTCCAATAAGCAATATATCTGTTTTGTAAATGGAGAGGTATGTGAATAATTACTAAACCGTTCTAAGATAATTTATTGATGTTTTATTGACAGAGACAGAAAAATCTAAAAAAAAAAGTAACAATGGTCTAAATCCATTATATGTTATCGGTATTGAAAAGGGTTTTATTTATGATTTGAAAGGCGCACTGTACTTTGTTATCTGATCGATGTAAGTCGATCCTTGATAAAGGTAAAGTAAATGTATTGATTTCTTAACAGAAAAGGGGGGCAACACAACATTTTTTAGTAGTTCTTACAAACTCTTTGATGGCAAATTCAGAAAATTGCATTACGGAAACAGTTAAGCTGACAGTGAACTGTTTCATTTGTTACAAACTATGCGCTTTAATTATAAAAAATCTTTTGATGGTATTCATTATAATGCTGAAAATAACAATTTATATTCTTTTATTTGGCACGATGCTCTGACCGGTCTGAACCCGTATCAGGGCAGATACAGAAGTTTATTTAGATAATATAAAAAACAAAAAGACGTGGTATGGTCGCCAAAGAGACAACTCCTCACTAGAGACCTACTGAAGAAGAAGACATATACAGACAGACAAATTTTAAATGTTAAATCAGACATCAAGATGTAATGGAGGGTACTATATTCATAAATTTTGCAAACAAAAATAATTTTACAAATTGTGTTTAGAAAGACATTTGTGTTTGTGTTTTTCTTAAATGTGCGTCTGCATTTGAAAATAAATACACAGATTGTATTATACATTATCAAAAGTATCATTTTTTTTTGTTATTTGAGATGTATTAAATACATACAGTCATGTATTCATTACCGAAACTCATTTGCAAGTCACGCCATTATCATTTGAGATGTTTATGTCTGTATTAATCTGGGTCACTCTTACATAAATAAAAAAAAAATTTAAGTAACAAACGGTCGTAAAGTCAAACAATAGCTTTGTACACAGGTATATTTAGCTAGAATACATATATGTAACTTTAAACGAAATTTGTGTGGGATATTGAATTGAGAAAGTTACCACATGGTCTGAATGTAAATTTTTTGTTTAAAAATTAAATACTTGGAGTTAATACAAGATATCTAACAGCATAACAATCAAAACATGCAATAGCAGAAAGCATACCTGATATTATAAAAGTATAGTCAAAACTGCAAAAAAACTACCTGAAATGACTCGGTTTCAGATATTGTCAATAATATTTATATCTTAACCACGACTTAACATAAAATGTACAGTGCTATGCGATGCTTTAAAGGGGCATTTAATGTCAATCATGTTTACGAACTCAACTAAAATTCTCATAGTTGTTTTATAACTTACAAAAACGTCTGTCAAAATTACAAAAAAAGTCCCAAAGACACAATTAGCAATTCGTGGGCTCGTTTTAATGTATCAGCATTTTGTGCGTATTTTAGGCTAGACGCCTTCTAATTAAACATCTACTAGTAGATTATATCTGAAGAATTTCGTAGGTCATATGACCTGATGAAAACATAGATACAAATAAACAAACAAACACTTGCAATGATACATCGAAATTATGTCTAGGTCTGTTTGATTTCATGTAATCAATTTAAACTCTTATAAATCATCGTTTTTTGTAATATAACGAGTTTAGGTAGCAGAATCTGTCAACGATGGATTCGTTCCGGTGTCTACCTTGTTTCGCAACAATTACTTTCTAATAATTAAGTATGCTTTGCCCATGCGTAACCCAGTTAAAGGTCCAATTGCTGTTCAAATGAATACGGACCAACATTAGATTAATTATTTGACAAAATGAAACCAAAGTTACCGATAACAGCGAAATGTAATTTTACAATTCCGCTTAATATATAAAAATCTGATACAAAAGAAAAGCCTTATTTCGATTTCTTGTCAATTTCTTATCTTTAAACAGAGTTCGGTGTGTGGAAGAAACTTTGGTTTGTTTCTAATTTTTCCGAAAAAAATATGTTACATGAATATGGCCATTTAATCAAACATATATATGTCATCACACTTTCTTCACAACTAATACATGTAATAGTTCCCTGCCAAACTGATTATATTATAAGTTTGTTGTCATTTACCTTTAAAACTCAAAGAATTTGGAATGTTTTTAATATTTTTGGAAAATCAGTGGCTAGATTATTGCATTATATGGTGGTCAGATTTGTTATTTTACCATTTATATCTTTTAACCGTGTGTTACATGTCTGGACAGAACAATATAAATTGCCGTTGATGCATGCATAACGTGAGACCCTTCTCCTGTCGTTACACCGGTCTTAGTTCTTATCTAGATCATAAAATTTCTTCGGTTTATTTTACCTTCAGTTGTTTTCTTACTTTATTGATTTATGATATTTGAAAAAAGGCAAACTACTGTTGTCTGTGAGTTATCATACATCTCATTTGCAGTTTGCATTAATCAAAAGCAATATCATTTACCAAAACTGCATACTTAACGCAAAACAACTACAATACAGATTTGCTTTTTTTTAAATGAGAAGATAATACTTCAATGTCAGATGAAATAAAAGAAAGTACTTACGCATGTCATAATGTCATTTTATTTAATACATGCGCCGCTGTACAACTAGGACATAACAATTCATCACACGATTGACAAAATGAAATTGCATCGATACTTACGTTGACTCTCAAACACGATTGACAGACTTTACTCGTAAGCTCCATTTTCTGATGAATCACTCGTATTTTTAGTTTCATTGCGTCGAATTTAAATCCAATAAAGTTCACCTATATTTATCGCAATGCATATTTTTACAATACATTGACTAATTGTACATATTTAATCTTCCTGAGTGAGACATTATGAATAAGAAGTATTTTATTATATTATTTATAGAACTTCACACTCGACAAAATCTCAGGAAAATACAACAAAGAAATTATCTTTAGAACAGAAAATAATATTTCTCATTTTTCTTCGCTATTTTAACATTTCCCAACTAATTGTGAAAAAAATGTTCTCCTCACTAGTGAAATAAAACTGTTATCGGAAAATTATTACGCAGCCCGGTCGTGGCAGGTTATTTATACATCCACACAACACATAAAACACTAAGTACATACCTGATAGTACTCGCAGTTACGTATAGCTAGTTCAAAGCCAATAACATGTGTACCTTTCTCATTATAGAAAAAAGGCTTCATATGAGTTGCACGAAATACATTTGCAACCAGATTTGTCAAACGACCATGTAATCAAATAGGAACACTTGTGTTTGATAAGTTTGCGTGAACATTTGGAATAAAGAATGGAAAAGATAAAAGTGTCAACCGAATCAAAAGTACAACAAAAAGCACGTAATTTATCTAAAACATCAAAGAATATTTTACACTCCAAAGTTAGTCAATTAAACTATTTTCATTTGTTTTATTACAAAAGTTAATGATAAATTATTTACTAGTAGTTAAAAGGATTGAACAAATACTGACTAAAGGCCGAGATGAAACGATGTTTCAAGAGTTTTTCGTTTTGTGTAGTGTAGTTTAGGTAACCAGTACATAGTGGGAATGCCTAAAACTGAGCTGTGGTAGTGACATGATTATTCTCTACTTGCCTCTCGGTATATCGTAAGGCCGTGAATATAGTAAAATGTATAATTTCATTCGTATGGACGTCTGTGTTGTATTCACGTCATACCTACACTTTAATTCATTTTTGGTCATTAGATTGTAGAATATGAGAGTGGTGAATTCAAAAATATAATTTACGTTGAGTCATTTTTTCGTTCAATAATATTATAATATATAACTTATCGAGAATATATATCATTCTTAACTTCAAGACAATTTGAATTAAGTAGTCCAACTTATTTTCATAAAGACAAACGGACATCATAAACACGAACACATTGTTGTGTTATAAGGATTTTTAAATCTATCACCTGTAATTCTCCTGATGAGAATCGTCTTTAAATGGGTCTCATCTGTATTTGAAAGTGGTACTAATAGTCTTTAAACATGGTTAGAAGCGTCCATATATGGGCCTTACCTGTTTTCAGACTGACACGAATTGTTTTAAAAGTGGTCCGAGTTGTCTTAAATATGGTCCGAGTTGTCCTTAAAAAATGGTCCGAAATGTTTTGGTTCGACTTGTCTTTGGTACGAGTTTTCCTGATTGCCTATTTTAATATTTAATATTTTTCATTTTTCATTTTTCATTTTCACCTCTGAAATAACATATTTACACTTATTATATAATAATACAAGATTATTCAAAACTAATGACTATTCATGTTTTTCCAACTCTAGATTCATTTTTAGATTATGAATTTACTGTCTTAAAACAAAAAAAAAAGATAATACATTTAAAAAAAAGAAACAGTTCATGATATAGGCAATATTTTTTTTTCATTACTAAAAGAAGGTTAGAAGGTCAATTGTACTTTATTGATAGTCCAAGATAAAGGATCAACCTGTGACTCATTTTGTTCCATTTATTTATTTTTTAGAAAGTATATTAATTTACAGCCGTGAATAAATTTTTGGTCAATTTATGATAAAATTATATGCTATTCATAACCTCTTTACATAAATGTTGTTTCGTGTTTCTTGAAACAATTTATAACTATCCTGCTTGTACAGCATATCCAACCAACAAATGATCTTACAAATTACTCCGCTTGAATCATATTCTTTTCACAGACCATTTTGTGCAGAATGTGCTTTCTAAATGATGCCTCTGAAGGAGGTAGGCTCACTAAGGAAGCACCCTACAAGAGTGGCAACTTAACATTTCAGTTTATTAAGATCATCATGTACTGAATGAACATTGTTTCTGGGGTCATGAAGAACCACGATGAACTGACTTTTCACTGATACAGATGTGTCAATATTAGAACCAGCTTGATTGAAAAACTTTGATAAATGTATGGGCTTTGTTTCGACGCCTTATATTTTTTTTTTATTTTTTTTTTTGCCAATTCCGATTAAAGAAGACATGTCGCATACTGTTAGAGCGTTAGTAGCTGTGGCAGACATCAGTGGTTCAATAACTTTGCATTGTATTTCCTAACTTGATACGTCATAGTCTTATATAGTGATACGTCATACAGTAGAATTCATCGAAATGTTTCCAGGTGTAAATCGGGTGTAATATGTAGTTAAAACCAAGCTTTACAATCGATTTTTTTTTACAATTGTGGCTTTTAAATGAATTTATAACTGTTCATGCATTAAGTAATAGAACTATAGTAATTATAAAAATTGACAAATTTTGATTAAAGATTGTTGATATCCTCTTTGAAAGAGATATCTAAAATTTTTTAAAGTATTAACCATGAACCGCGATTCATTACACAAGAAACAATACAACTTCCATAATGGAAGTCTATAGTGGAATATCATTTATTTGACGATATCTTTAAAATTACAGACAAAATGACTGCAAAATTTATCACCAGACAAATTAACAAACAGTAAAATTTCAGTAAAGATGATACTGCTGTGTCGTATAAAAAGTTGAACATTATGACTGTAAACGAAGACAAACTAATCATAAAAGAAATAGTCCAACCACGACGCTTAAGGTAGATTCATAGTATACCGCCATCTTGGATTGTACTGTTGCAGTACACAATCAGTCTAATTATTTGCCCATATCTGCAAATTTGTAGACAGATGTGCAATTTTATTGGTTAGACTGTTTATTTATAGGAAGAAAACTTGCTAATTAATTGCATTATCCATAATATTTAAACAAATATCAAACACTTCTGTTTTAGAATCAATTTTTTCAACTAAGCCATTTCAGGGGATATAACTCTTTTAGTAAAAATTTATACTGGACTGATAGGGAAATATTTAATTTTTACTTGTAGCAAGAAAACAAGTTCGGTGACACCATTTTTTCTTTTTACTTTCTTAAAGCATATTATAAAACCTATCTTCTCACAATTTATTTCAAAATTCTATCTCATAGATTTCTTTTTATGCACAAAAATGTGTTTTTCCATGATCATTCTAAGCAAATTTAGGCAATTTTCAACGACTCATAGCTTGAAAAATAGCACGATGACCCATACTTTTTATTATATTTTTGAAACAAACATAGTAAAATCTTCATTTTGGCAAAGTATAAGAAAATTCTATTTCGGGAAACGTTTACTGATGATCTACCTTAAAGCACTTTGAAATTCCCTTTGACTAATAATATAAATACATATATCGATGTTTATTTTAAACATTATGAGGATGTTATCTACTCTTTGGTCGGTTTGTTGTCTCTCTGACGTATTCTCCATTTACATTCTCAATTTTAATTTTAGTATAATTGTAAATGAGACAACCATCCACCATATCCAAATGATGTGAGCATCTTTCGGTCAGCGTACATTAAACGATATTAAACTTTGTAACGGAGACGGATAAGATCGTTTTTTGATAAGCTGGAGGCAAACAAATCAATACAAAAACAATGTAACAACACATGTTGTTTCATTATAAAATACAGAAAAAGTTGCTTTTTTAAGGTTAATCTAAGGTGACAAAAAAAATCTATATAAAACACATAATACTTAAATATACAATTTAAATCTTTACAATCGATTTCCCATAGGAGATTTGGATCTTAAACAATAAAAAAATGGAAAAACAAAAGTTGAAATCTGTGCTTTATGGAAAAGGTTTGTTTTGGGAGGTTATAAGACATGCAAAATTGCGCGATTCAAAAATTGAGAAGTTTACAGCATGTACAGATCTATGATATTATTTCATAAAATATTATCCTGTTTTAACAATGTTTGAAGGGCTCAAACTAGTTTTACTTGAAAATGGACACCTCTTATTTTTTCAAGTTGAATGCAAAAGCCGATGAACAATTGTTTTTTTTTTAATCTGAATATATAGAGTCATTTTTCATCGAAGATAACGAAATATTTGAATGTTAAAGATCCACTGCATGACTACACATTCAATGACAGTACATGGCTGTGATCATGCATGAATATTTATCAGGGGCGCTTGTGTAGCTTAATTTGAATACATGTATACGTGAACAATCCATATTAGTGACGAAAAAAAGGGAACTTAATCATAATTTTATTCGTTTGTGTTGTTGATTTGCAAAGGGACGTGGAGTTATATTGTTACATTAAACTGGGACAACCTTTAACAGGATCAAAGGTAGCATAATATTCCGAAATTTAAAAAAAACTGCTGTGTTACACATTAACTTTGTAAATGAACTTGATACAGTTTGTAAATATTAAACGCATTAACTACGACTCATGATATCTAGTTTGATGCTACAATAGAAATTTTCAACAAATAGTTTGGTATTAATGCGTTTATTGATGACAGGTGCCAAAATCTGTATAAATTCTAACCTTAAACACAAAGCAATCTATGAATAGATGTCATAATCGGAAAGGAACTTGGTTTTCAATTGTCTTAGTCGATTTATAAGATTGTATCATAACTGACAACTGTAGCCTTAATCTATAATAGACAATACAGTGGACCTCTATAAGAACAAGAAGAATCACATCTATGCATCTGGAATGTTCCTTTGGTATATGTTGCCTCTCTTTTAAAGCAGTCTAGAACATTTTTGGAAGAATAATGTCCTAGATAATTGTATCGTTAGCATATAATAATCTGGTTTTCATGTTTAAAAATGTAAATGTCAAAATAACTAATCATTTTATCAGGAATATAATTATACAGAACAGCTGTATTACAATCGACTAGTCATTGATTCGTGTAATCGTCATCGCCTAGTTCATCCACTTCATCATATCCATGTTCCGTACAAATTTCGTAGTCACCAAAAAAGTGGGATAAGTACTCAAATGTTATTCGAGCATTGGGATCTTTTGACCAGCAATCTATAGCATGATTATAAATAGCTTCCGGACAGCAATCAGGTCTTATATGTCTTAAGTCCCTCTTTATTCTGTTAAATATCTCTGGATCTTTCAAGTCTGAAACAACAACTTTAATAATAATTAAAATATATTTGTAGTTGATATATAAGCTTACTATAAATTCAGATTTTATTAAACTAAATAAAAATGTAAATTATAATTATAACAATACATTAAAAAATATCTTGCCATTGATATGGGTATAGATCGTTGAATTATTTTGTTTTATTCAAAAAGACAATTTGTTTTCTCAGCAGCCTACGTTGTAAAGCGACGCTTAAGTACTAATCCACGAAGGAACATATGCTATTCGGGCATATCGGACACGCTAAGTTGTTTAAAAGAAGTTTACTGAAGTGTAAACAATGTGCAGTACAATCTGTTTTCAGGGTATCGCTCGCTTCTACTAATTAGTCTATCGTGTATGTTGGCAATTATCTCTAGAGAATGCCCTGCTTGTAGTATATCAACAGATTCCCTGTTGGTGTTTATGCATCTAGGACTAAACACCATTCATACAATGTACAAATTGAAATTATATTGGCAGCTATAAGATCAAGTATAACTTTGAAGTGCTTGAATAAGATATAGTAATTTATACGTAAGCAGTGTCCTGTCTTGCGGAGATTCAGTTTTAGTCGGACAATTGGCGTACGCATTGTTTGTACTATTGCCAAGTGTAATTTTTATTCATTCAATTCCTTTCTTGGAGTCTTTTTTTAAAGTTTACTCGTCAATATAAAAAAAGAAACTATCAATCATAGCAGACTAATAATTGTAAACGCCAGACGCGCGTTTCGTCTACAAAAGTTTCTTCAGTGATGCTCGAATAAAGAAAGTTAAAACGACAAACGAAGTACGAAATTGAAGAGCATTGTGGACCGACAATGTCCGAAGGTTTTCCAAATACATATGACATTATAACATTTAATATTGTTCTGTTTATTAGTAGCTTTAAAGTTGCTGTTATGGTTTTGGCAGTTCGTTATTAAAATATTTATGTTGCAATCGATCTTTGTTCTTTTACCTTTGATATCATTTTACTCATCTGTTTCTCATATGGCAAATGGTTTTTAATATCAAACTTTTTACGTTGAATAACTCCTAATATTGTGGTTTTTCTACCCTTTGGCATAGATTGCTTTAATCGTATTTTGTACATTTTTAGGAAGTTTCAATGCTCTTCAACTTCATTTTCTATTTGGCCTTTCAAAAGTTTTTGTTTCGAGTGACACTGATGAGTCACAGGGTGACGAAACGAGGATTGGCGCACCAAATATAAGTCTTGCAACTTTGATTATTCTTTTTTCATATCTAACGCCAGATTTCTCAAAAGTAAACTTGGGCGAATGGTATATTTTTCAGTGAGGCTACATGGTATACTTAACACAAAAAAAAACGGTAAAAAGACAATCTTATTATAGATTCGACGTAGGTGCCCGAAACGGTAATTTAACCATGTATACAATTAGAAATTGCATGTATCAAAATCTTTAACAAAGCATATAGAAAAGTAATACTCCTTGACGAATAACAATTCCTTATCAATTCAATAACGTTGTCTAAAAAAGAAATTTGACCAAGACAATATATTTTATAAATTTACTCTGACATCTTGAAACTTTACCTTCATAAGGTATTTTGCAGTGTCCAAACACTTCCATCAATAGTATTCCAAAAGACCAAACATCAGATTTGGTGGTCGCTTTTTCCCCTTCGATTATCTCTTGTGCCAACCATCTAACCGGAGGAATAGTTCCTACATGTAGTTAAAAAACAATTTTTTAAATTTAGTGAATTTTCCATTGCAAATTGAGGTAAAGGTTATGATACCTCTACTTGTTTTTAATCATCTAGTATGGGAAGGTCTGGATTCATTACAAAATCAGATATAAATAAAGGCAAGGAATTGACGCATACTCAATTTTCTATTCTTTTTGGACAGTGTGTGACTAGCGTTTCAATACTTGTTTCTACCAAATTTCTTAAGAGCTTACCTTTACAACTATGCTTACTGATTCTATTAAGTTTAACAATAAATTACAGCAACTTGTCATGGACTGCTATTAGTCTTCGAACCCACTTTTTTTTTAAATGTCCTGTACCAAGTCAGGAATATGGCAGTTGTTATCAAATAGTCCGTTTCTATGTATGTTGGCGTTTGTTTTTGTAGCAGTTCAGTGTTTCTTTTGTTCCATTGTTTTCCTCTTATTGTTGATGTGTTTCTCTCGGTATTGGTTTGTGACCCGGATTTTTTTTCGCTAAATAAAGTTAGTTGTATACTTCTGTTGCATTTATTTGATCTTTGACTGCAGTGGAATCAATATTATTCGTTAACTACCAATTCATAGTCAAAGATGAACTATGTATTAAATGATGTGCTCGTTTTCTATAGGCTTGTTTGTAGTATCACGATATCAAATATCCACGAAAATATCATTGACCCTCTGTTCATGAAAATTGGTACCCACAAAAATAAACGAATCCATCGTATTCAAAATTTACATTACGTGTTTTAATTGCGTTATATTCAATTTTGGCTCAATAGGTACGACTGCTAAATGTATCAGCCAACATATTGATTAATTGATTGGTTTTTGACGCCAACTTCAGCAGTATCGGCTATTTCATGGCGGTACTTTCTTTTATTCGTCGAAGAAGCTGGCGTTTTAACCATAACTATTGGATTTTCATTACAGGTAAAGGTAGCAAATAATTCGTTTTCGTATTGCTCTGCTTCATTACTTTATAGATACGAGAATTGTCTTCTGATCTTTAATTTTACCGATGGTGTTCCATTCCTGATTGCAACATTTGACTGATTCAATTATCATTACGTATAATACATGCAATTCAGGATAAGAATACCCTGTCAACGCGTAAATACTTGAAATATGTAATTTTGAAGTTCATGCAAAATCCTCAGTTTTTTTCAGTGAAAGTGAGGCACAATACAAGCCTAACATGTTAACAAACAGAAAAAAACCCGCAGTGTTTATTCATGTACATATCGAGTAAATGCGACGTTTATATTCATCGTTTTTTTTTTCTAAAAAAAATTAAAGATAGTAGACACAAAACTTAAATGCGCGTTGTTTTTCCTTGCACATTTTCTATTTTATAAAAAAAGTAAACGCTCTATACTTAACACGCGCTCACGAAATTTGTCATAAACATAATCAATGATATTAGCATAGTAAACGTTAACGCTCTATACTTTACACGCACAGTGTGTGCATGCCGATATTGGAGTTACGCGCATTTAAGTACATTCAGTTTTAATCATCACCAAATTGTATCTTAATTGGTTTCTTCTATATGAGTATGTAAGATCTGAACGTCAGTAAAATTGTTTCCGTTAGTAATGAAAAATCATGTAAAATCTAAATTCTTAACATCATTTATGAGCCGGTAGTTGTTGTGACTTTTCCATTTGTTTATTCAATCACGTTTAGATGTTACTTACGTCTTCGTTTGTGATCTATTGTATGGTCATTTATCATGTGCGCAAACTTGAACCCACAAATCTTCGGGTTCCAATTTAATCCAAATAATACATTGGCTGCTCTCAAATCGGAATGAATGATCTCTCTGGTTCCTAAATAATCCATTCCTTTTGCAATCTAGAATGAAAAGAACAAAATGTCAACCGACGGTTATGTTCTTATATTATTATACTTCTCTTTGATCGTGAATGAATTGATGAATGTGGTAAAAGATGTTATTTAAACCACAAAAAAGGTGATCCAATATTGCACGTAGTCTCGTTTACATTTACCATGAAAACTGTTATATTCCGGTAATCTTCATGTTTAAACCTTTATAGACTATAAGCATATACTTACTGGAGTTACTTAGTAGTTTACATCCATATCCACTTTCGCTGATTATACACATGTACTCGATACTGCGATCTGATCGACTTTTTATCAAACGTCTTACTCTAGTGATTTCCCTCAGAACTCAGAAATACTATTAAATGTGTGTGTATTACAACAAAAAAAAAAGAGAGTTAGGAGAAAAACAATGATTACAAACACATTCATTTTATCGGCTAAAATTCTACAATATTGCTGCTGATCCAGGATCGTCCCTAGTAACATACACATATTTTTGATTTTAATCAGTTTTTTGAAAAGGCACTTACACTCTTGTTATATATCACGTTCGATATCCAGCAGTGATAGTGTACTTTCGAACTTGTTTCTTGCACGTTTTGCTGAAAGCTCCAAAGTTTTGTCCTAAATGACTTATCTCTACAGTTCTACGAAAGTAAAAACTAAAAAAAAAAATTGAGAGCACAAAACACGTCAAGACATAATTTATTTCGGATAGAAAAAATATATTATAAACTTTCACCTTAGATGTCATTTCAGTCATATTCTTCATAGATGTGTCCATTGATGTATGTTCATCTAATAACATGTCCTTTAAGCTGTAGTTCGTAAGAAATTCCATGACTAGACAAACTGGATGTTGCTCTGTGCTAACTCCTATCATTTTTATGACGTTCTCGTGAGATGCTCCCTTCAATATATGAGCTTCTTTCAGAAAGGAAAAATGATTATTATCAACGTTTTTCTTCACGGCTACTGTACAACCTTGGAAATTTGCTGTGAATTAGAACATTGTAGAAGACAGATTGTTTTAGCAGCTCAAATGAATTTTAACATTTGCGGGGAAAATATCCTTGTACTTTTATGTTTAATTAGTAAGTGGTAAGTGAAATAACTGGTAAGTTCACATAATGCAATGCATAAGTAAACTGTAAAGAAGCAATTATCTTTCATTTTCAGGGAAAATAACTATAAATAGGTTTAAGATATCCTTTGATTTGACGTTTTATAATATTGGTGGTCTAATTACTAGACATTCGAATGTCCAAGAAACTATTGCTCAGATTTGTTATTTAATATTTATTTCATTATATATGATTAATTCTTCTTTAGATTATATTAGGATTATTTAAATTTATAATTTTAACTCTTCGTTAAATAAAAATCTTGCTTTTATACCGGTTCAGAATGTTGTTTTACAAGTGTTTTTAGATTTGAATCGGTGATATTAATAATGAAAATCCAGTTTTGTCAGAACATGTAGTAAGAATAAATGAATAAACAGCTTTAGAATATAACATTTATAGAATCATGTTTTATTCTTACTGTATAAGATTACGTGATTGAAAATATTTTGTTTGAATCAATTGATGATTTTAAATAACGAATAATGTTTAAGGTTGGACAATCCTTTCTGTATACACAAGCAGCACACAACATGCACAATAACATGTGTTTGAAAAAATGCGATAACATTCTAGGTCTATCATGTGTTTCACTATAACAATTACACGACAGTACAAGCTTTTTGATGTAAGCACGTATTCACCAGTTGTTACACTGATTTACCAATATGAAGCTGGAAACTAGCAGTTATTATAATATAAGCAGAAAGGCGTAGCAAAAGCGAAATATGCAACAAAGGTGCCCGTAGATGGCGGAGCTTTTAAAGACATAAATGAAATTCACAGAGAACCACAATTACGAATGCACAACTTTTATCATTAATTCTATAAATTAAAGGCAAGAAAGGTGATTGTATATCTCAAATTTTTAACACTTTTTTTTTCATCATATTTTTTGTATGTTAATTTACAGCTATCAACAAACACATTGCAAGAAAATCCGAGACTATGATTGCCACTACTCTGTTGGTGGTTCCAGAGATTTGCTATAAAATGTATGAAATTACGTGCAATACAGTTAAACAACAATTGAAAGGTTTTTGTCGTGATCTTGAACTTTGATGCAAACTTTTTGATCCTCAGAGAACATCAGATCAGCAAACATGTCTTAAACTTAACGATATTAAACAACCATAACACTGAACAGATGAAGCGAGGAAAGCTCAATTGTAAAATTCAAATCAGCAAGCAACATAGATCAATATACAAAAGAAAGTTTCGTAAATGAGTATCTTCTTAAAAAACACGTGCTGTGTTGGTCAAGTCCGCAAATAAAATAGAAATACAGAACAATGCTCAAAAGAATTTTTTATTCTATTCTTAAACTATGGTACTATAGGAACGTAACACTTGTTTACATATTTTTTTAAATGAATGAAAATCTTGAAAATTGTTTGCCATTTAATGCTTTTGGTCATCAATTACAATTCAAAAGTCAAAAAATTAAAAACCATGCCCTAGGTTTAAGTCAAAAGTCTTATATAAATCCAAATTTTATTACACAAACAATGTCACCATACATGCATGGAAAATAAACCATGGCTTTAAGACGTATTGTTTTTGAGTAAAGTACCAAAACCAGATATGGACTTGTTGTCAATAAGTAAATAATTCTCATGATAATCTTGTTTATAATAGGTAATATATGTAAGTGTTGACAGCTTAGCATATTGTATGCTTTTATGCATACCGAATTTCAATGTCTAGCGATAATACATGCCATATGCAAAGGTTCGTAAGAAAGAAAAGGTTAACAAGCAATAACACACTGTAACATTATCACAAAATAATAAAAAAATTAAAACATAATTAACCTAAGCATGAATGAAGAGATCTTTTTTCGTGCGGTTCTGAGTAAAACACAAATTCCCTCACCACTTCTGACAACATATACATTCTAAATAAAATAAACCGGTAACATGTATTGTTCGGTGATTGTTAGAAAGAAGGGAAGGATATGGTAATGGAATATATCCCCGTCATTTGTGACACAAAGTTTCTGTTTAACCACGTCTTTACGGTGCCCGTTAAATTTTAAAATGGATGAGTTTATGGTTTCCAATAAAGACTTTTGACCCACCAGCTTCCGTGTGAGCTTAAACTTTCTATCATTTAAAATGCCGTTATTCAGATACAAAAAACATCTATTAATGTAGATATATACATTCATGAAAATTAGCTTTTCATTCAAAAAAATGGAATCCTATTTGTGTACAGAAGATTAATCAATGCAATCTGCACTTGATAATCTCGAAGAAGAAAATTTTGCAAGCCAAACATATACAATAAGTGTAAACATAAAAACTAATATTAAAAAAAAGCAGCCATACTTGTCCTATGTACATTTTGCAGTATCCTTTACCATCACTTTCCGCTATATAGATGATTTTCTCTCACTAAACAATTCAAACTTTTTCGAATATGTTGAACGCATCTATCTCATCGAAATTAAAATAAAAGATACAACAGATACAGTTAAGTATGCCTTAAGTCTTAAAGTACATCTATAAAGTGACAATGAGGGTCGGTTGAAAACAAAACTGTACGACAAAAGAGATAATTTCAACTTCCTAATCATGAACTGTTCATTTCTATGTGGCCCAAGACCACAATTAATGACCCTACTTTTCGTTGTCCACGAATATAGTTCCCTTTAATTAAAGTGTATTTTTTCTTTATTTTTTTTTCTTTGCCTTTCTCATTCATTTCTTAGTTTTATTGGGTGGAAATGAAGGAAGAGAGGTGAAATAAATTTTTGAATGTTTTATTTTAACTGATTTTGATATGGAAAGAGTGATTAGGCTAAGAGCAAAAAGGTAATATTTACAGATTTCGGAACATCTCTTGACTTGTCCATAGGGGTATGGATGTTTATTGGCTAAATTTGTAAGATATTGGGGAGCAATCGTTCTGAATTTTGGATATGTTTTTGGACTAGTACTATACATTACACACACAAAAGACTAGACAAAAAGAATCGGTGCAATGTTTTAAATGAGACAAAAAGTTATAAAGAACTAATAGAGGAATTGATTGTGGTCTGTTGCCTGAGAGGCTGATACCCAAAATCTTGAAAATAAAGAAAGGACCAACTTTATTGGCAGAAAGTCACTTCAAATGATAAATAGTAATGGTTTATTGTATTTTTTTCATTATAAATCTTTAAACCTGTTATAATATGCAGTTTTAATTTTTGAATTTTAGTTAATTTGGAGTTTAGTATGACGTCCATTAACACTGAACTAGTATACATATTTGTTTAGGGGCCAGCTGAAGGACGCCTCCGGGTGCGGGAGTTTCTCGCTGCATTGAAGACCCATTGGTGGCCTTCGGCTGTTGTCTGCTCTATGGTCGGGTTGTTGTCTCTTTGACACATTCCCCATTTCCATTCTCAATTTTATAAGGCATTTTTGGCCATTTTTGGCCATTTTGATGTACTGTAAGCCCTTTGACCCCCAGTTTCAGCCCTTTCTGTCAATAATGTTAGACCCTTTTTACATTTTAGAATATATTACTACTCTATTGTCTTACAAATATAATAAAAAAAATAATAGATAGTTCTGCACCTGGCTAAATGGGCAGTGTCACATTTTGACAGGTTTATGTACACCTAATGGCAAATATGGAGTTATTAATTGTAAATTTCCAGATGCCAGAGGGTGGAGACAAATGCATGTGCACAGACTTGCCTACATGGTGCATCATCAGAATATTTTAATTGATAAAACTGATGATGTTTCGCACCTGTGCCACAATTCGAAATGCATTACTATCGAACATCTGTCGTTGGAACCTCATAGTTTCAACAACAGCCGACAGTCATGCGTTTCAACCGGTTCCTGCTTGGGCCACCCAGATCCCCTCCCTCCCTACAGGGTGGAGTTGAAAATGGATAACAATAATTTGGGTAAAATAATTATCGGGTACTTTTTTATTTATATTTTATTTATATTTTGTTTCTGGGGCAGGCTAAAATATATTTTTATCAGAATGAATGGGAGAAAAAAAGAAAAAAAATTTGAAAGCCAAATCAACAACTTCAGATTCTTCTTTTAATATTTGTGTGGTCCTGAAAAGGACCTTTTATGATTTTGTTTGCTGGTTGATCTGTCATCTCAGTCAGTAGCTGGTCTTGGAAACTTTGGTTTGCAGTAGCTTTCATGGTCCTGGAACTGTAAGGCAGGCTGTGGATCTAGTTGACGTTTGCAGTAATAGTCATGCTTTTTGTTCATTTCTCTCCATGTCTTGTGCTCTGCAAGCTTTTCTGCATTCTGCTTTAATCTCCTTGCTTGAACTGTTGGTCTTAGTATGTAATCTTGGTTGTATTTAAAGTCAGTGTCCATTTTCTTGTTGTGAAGTTTACTTCGTTCTGAAAGGTCTACTCCTAGATTCGTACATTTAAGTTGCCTCGATTTCACGGCATGTTGTTATTTCTATGTACTCCTGAAGCAAGTCGTCCTTCCATATTTTTGGAGTACATTACATTTTTGGAAAAATTAACACTCAGTGCTCTATGAACTCCTTCATTTTTGTTGGTATTGTCATAAAGTTTCATACTTTCAATAGCTGCTGTAGTTAATTTAATTTTCAGGATTTCTTGAAGTAAAAATTTGCCTGTTTTATCCATTTGCAGGGTAGTGATCTGGTATGTGGACAAGTAAGATGAACGACTCCACAAGTTAAGTGCAGCATCACCTTTGCAGTCAATGGAATATTCATGACACTGGGTGCAGTCACCATCATAGCAGCGAAGAGTTGCATCGAGCACTTTTGTAAAGTCTTTGCTTATTTCATTAATGTTTTTGTCATATTTCTCCATCAGTTTCTTTACTATCATGGAACATCTGCACTTTATATCTTTGCTAAACACCGTCCTCAGTTGTTTATTTTCCTCTTTTGTTTTTCAATGGAACATTCCCAGACTGTATTGAGCTCGCAAAGAGACCCTGAATTGAGACTGTCCCAAACGTACATGATCTGCCAGTCTTTCTACTTTCCACATTGGTTCGAGCGCTGTAAGGGCGTCTTCAATACCTTTAGCTGAACGTCTATCTCCATCTGTGCTCACATACCGTACCAGACATTTTTGAAGTCCTAGCTGGTTTCCAATCTCTATTTTCAGCTCGTACTCTGACAGGGCAGCAGCTCTGTATAAATTTGCTGTACATTCTTCATGGCCAGGACATTCTGTTGGAAAGCCTTTCCCTCTAAGCCAAGCCCCTTTCCAACACACCTTATTCTGTACAACAGCATCTACAATAAACTTTCTATCTGTCATTTTTTCTATTCCCAGTGCAAAAACTTGAGTCGGATTCTGACCAGGATTCTTTTTTACTAACTATTGTGTTGCTGTTGTAACGAGCATCCACAGTTATGTTAATTTCATTTTCTGGGACACCTCGCCTCCTGTTCACTTCTTTTACTAGTTCCAGTTTCTGTGCCATGTCTGTTTTGTTCAGGTTGACCATTTCAGCTGCTACTCTGCTGGGTGTGCGTTGCATACTGCTTCTTCAGGGTGGTGGTGTGTCCATTCCTGCAAGTAGTTGCTGCACTGTTGTATTTCCAATTGGGCAGTCCTTCAAAGCAGATGCATGGGCTACATTAGGTAGTCCTGGGTTGGCTCCTGGTTTGCCATTAGCTATTTCTTTGTACATCTTTATTCTGTCTCCAATAAAACCACAGGTTATGCATTTCAGGGTATACTGCCAGCAAGTTCCCCACTTTTTCTGTTCATCATAGTCAACATTAAACTTAGGACAGGATGGTGAGTCCACTTGGTGTTTATTATAAGTAGTGTTGTACAAGCTGAGTGTCAGTTGACTGTCTATCCACCTCATACCAGAATGTAATGCTTCATTTTCTTCTTTTTCCAGGTCAGCATTAGCTTGTGGTCGGAGAGTACAGATGTGACCAGTAGCCTCTATGCAGTCAGGAGATTGTAAAGTTTGCCGCACATAGGAAGTACTTGCACTAGCTGAAATCAGGCATCTGTATCGACGTCAGGCCTCCACTTATAACATTTGTGCCAGCTTGGAACCAACTAGGATTTCTTGGAGAGTTGTCTTTCTTTGACCTTTTCTTGCCTTTGGAATGTGGGGTAATACCATAAGTGAACATTTTAAAAGTTAAACTGTATCAGTAATATCGCAACTTGGACTACTGGAATAAACTTTGGACATCCTTATATTTATAATCAAGTGGTGTACAATATCTGCTTTGATGTACATTTTTTCCTTTGATGTTATCTTTCAGATTCTAAATATTTAACCATTTAGCTACTATAGACATTTTACTTTTTTAAGATATCATGTTTAACAAGAAAGTTATGAAACTTTAACTTTTCCTAGTAGTTACATGTTTTAAAAGTTTCATGCCAGAAAATTCCTAGAATTATTAACATGAGGGTAATGTTATTATAACTATTCGGACTGCCATTAAACTTGTCGGATTGATTTGAAATTTGGTATGCTGGTTTGATATAGAATAACCTTAATGCATGATATTTTTTGGGGCATTTTGTTGAAGAATAAGGGTCAAATAGGCCCAAGACCACAATTTGTCGTTGTCCACGAATATAGTTCCCTTTAATTAAAGTGTATTTTTTCTTTATTTTTTTTCTTGTCCTTTCTCATTCATTTCTTAGTTTTTATGGGGTGGAAATGAAGGAAGAGAGGTGAAATAAATTTTTGGATGTTGTATTTTAACTGATTTTGATATGGAAAGAGTGATTAGGCTAAGTGCAAAAAGGTAATATTTACAGTTTTCGGAATATCTCGTGACTTGTCCATAGGGTTATGGATGTGTATTGGCTAAATTTGTAAGATATTGGAGAGCAATCTTTCTGAATTTTGTATATATTTTTGGACTAGTACTATACATTACACACACAAAAGATTAGACAAAAAGAATCGGTGAAATTTTAATGAGACAAAAAGTTATAAATAACTAATAGAGGAATTAATTGTGGTCTCTGGCCATGAAGCAACATTCCAGCAGCACCTTAATACGGAGTATATATCTCTTAGTTGATACAATATTCAAGGTTTTGTGTTTCCTATTATGATTTCCTTGATCATGTTGATAGAGGGTTGATGCTCACGAGGAAGCTATTAAACTAAGAGTTCCAAGTGGTGAAATTGGAATCATTCTTTTGTAATAAATTTTACGGACGCCATCACGAGTTGGTTGATCGTTATGGAATATTTGATTCACAGATGACGACACCTATATTATAATTGTCGTAGCTACAATCGTTTCCCGTTGCCCCGAATGTGATCTACCGAATTCAACATATCACCTGCTTTGTACTTACATTAGCAACACGACGGGTGCCATATTTGGAGCAGGATCTGCATAACCGTCAGTAGCACCAGTTTTGGTGGGGTTAGTGTTTTTTCAGTCTTTGGCTTCCTATGTTATTTTGTGTACTGTTGTATGTCCTTTTTTTTTTAGCCATGACGTTGTCAGTTAGTCAAGTTTAACTTATGCGTTTGAATATCAGTTTGATATCCTTCGCTTATTGCAGTCTTAGTGATAGGACATAACATGATATGAATATGATCGTACCTCAATTATAAAAACAGTCTTGATAAGATTAGGTAAATAATTATCATCATGGTAATCATACCCGATTTCTTTAGGTTCCTATATCAGAATATTGTGGATTCATTAATGTTCGTGGGTACCAATGTTCGTGAACTGAAGAAAATTTGCAGTTTCTTGGATACTTAATTTCATGTTTTGTTTTGTAATTCTATTTACAAACCAATCGGAAATTTGGTTCACCTTTTTTTGCACAAAATTAACGAAAATTGGCATTCAATGAATAATAATGAATCCATGTAATGACTTTAATTTACCGTACGATGATTTTAGATGTTATATATTATTTCAATTCGACTAAACATTCGTTCCAACGTGAGCTGTTTCAAATTAACATTTGGTCTTTTAAACATACCTTTCCAAACACGCCCAGAATAAACAGCTTCTTCAACCCGATCAAGAGATGATCTTTTGATATCAGGAAACCATCCTAAAGTGATTTAATCAAACAATTAGTTAGCTATATTTTAAATATATTACTCACTGGAACATTATTAAACAATGTAATATGATTTGAAGGTATAAATATCGGAACTTTCATAGATACTAAAGAACTTTGCCAAAAAACCAATTGTAAAAGGTCACCTATCTCTAATCATAATGTACAAGACCAGAATTCATGAACCAATTTTCATATTTTAAGTCATTTAATTGAAAATAGTACATAGAATGCAAATGATCATTTGCATCAGATATACCCCGTATTAATCATAAATTGCCAGATATTAACCATTCAATAACCATCGTAAACGTTAAGTATATCCTTGGAAAATGACTTGAACACGGACAATATTTATGCTCAGATTTGTTCTTTAAACCATAGCCATGACAGCTGGGCTTCGGACGTCGAGTTGTCTAAGTAGTCTACGCATGTAAATTGATATTGTGAGTTAGAATTCTGCACCTGGCAGTTGCGCTTGACACCGATTTTAATTGGCTAAGATTATCAGTTTTCTTACCAATTGTCTGTGGTTTCTCTCTGGTCCCTCTCGCTTTCTCCACAAATAAAAACGAACCGCCATAAAATAGAACAATATTTCTGAAAGAAGCGCTTAACACTAACATGACTAATCAATCAATCAATCAATCAATTGCCATAACAGTAGTACGAAAGACGTTCTTCCTTGTGAATATTCATCAAAGCGTCAGTAGTTTACAAATATTACATTATCGTGGCTTAAAAGGGAGCGAGACTGGGTGTGTCTATAAGGTTAACTTTTTATTCTATGCCAATTTACACTCAGTCAAAATGTCATACGAAATCAAGAAACGTGTTTCGCACACAAGAAATATTTTAGCATTATTTAAATTTACTATCACTTGGTCGATACCACTGCTGGTAGACTATTAGTCTCTAAGGCTATCATCTACTCAGTAGTCAGAATCTATTATTTACTTTTCTGAATTTATCTGTTGATAAATGATGAAATTAATAGGAAACTAGGGTTAAATGTCACTCAGGCCAATTTAACGAGAGATGAATGTGGCTGAATATTTCTAGCCTTTAGGTAGACTTTTGCAGCTCTTCAAGTTTTTAGATCTTATTATTGTTTGCTTTTAAATGCTTGTGTTAGAGTGTTCCTGATGAAGATAATTCAAGAACTGTTCTTTGGAAGCCCAAAATTTAAGAAGAGTTATTTTCAATTGACTGTATGAATGGAAAACAACCGACATATACCTGGCATGGTACAGGCTTGTTTCGTGGAAATAGTGGGTTAAACCTTGTTTTAACAATAGTCTTATTTGGGATAATGCAATCACTCACTATGGTTCATAATATTGATCATATTGGTAGTACGTGTTATGTTTGTGTATTTTATACATACCGGCAGAATTTGCTATTTTAGGTTCTGCACATGTAGTTTTGGGATCTGAAAAAAAAAAGATATTCTATAAGTAATAGATGTTTTTAGTTATTGTCATTTGGTTAAAACAACCGCTGATATGCTTTCGTTTTTTTGTTTAACAAATAGCAATACTAATTTTTAACTTTATATACAAGTATGCACTTGTGAACACAGATATGGAGGTAAAATCTGCAGATAAAAGTTTAACAAACTTAAAGAACTCCAAGGCAAATCAATAAAGTGGACAATTCATAAGAACTGGCAAAGTCAAACGTTAGACTGTGTCAACCAAAGGAATTAATGGAAAAAAAAACTTTTATTGTTTGGTTTGGTACAGGCATTTTCCGAAGAAAATGGTGAATAAAACCTGGATCTATATCTAATTAAACCTCCCACTAATATGGCAGTTGTTTGGAAAGTGCACTTTTCAAGCACAATAGGTTAGTGTGAAAATGACTGAGTTCAAGCTTTTAAAATTGTGTAGACATACATCATATAATAAACATACAACCGGACTGACTTAAATATTCTAACAGTAGATATAAGAAGATGTGGTATGAGTGCCAATGAGACAACTCTCCATCCAAGTCAAAATTTATAAACGTAAACCATTATAGGTCACAGTACGGTCTTCAATGAAAGCTCTCTTACAGGCAAACAACCCATAATTGGATAATAAAAGCCTACCAATTAATCTCACAAAAACGTACAATTCAACATAATGTTGAACCGAGCATAACCATGTATTACAGTACTTGCAACCTGAGGCGATACTGTTTGACGGGAACTTGACTGATCGGTGATTGATCGGTGACGGATGGTTGACTGATCGACGAATGATCGATCGGTGATCGATGACCCACAGAATCCGTCAGATATGTCAAATAAGCTATGTGAGAGTTACCATGACAACGGTCAGCGATCGATCAGTTAATTAATTATATTTTCACTGGTCGGACGGACACGTATATAATTAATTTTTTATGTAAAACGAACTCCAACGTAATTATATGCGATAAACGCGAACCTCTACGAAGACACCTTTACTAGAAAATTTGGTCACAATAACACATTAAAAAAATATATAAAATACTTTTCACGCCTTTTATGCATTACTTGCATTATTGGTTCTTTTATTTATTTGCCAAATAAATTACATAAGTGCAGATTAATGTCATGTTCACAAATGGATCACTTGAAATAGATAAAATGTTATCATTTGATAGAATTGTTATAATAAATGAGTAATTGAAGTATTCAAGCTGAATGAACTATCAACATATAAGTCTACAGTCTCCAAGTAGGTTTCAATAAGTCCTTACGTAAAACTTAAATTTACGCCGCGTTCCAGAGAGGGGCATAAAAAGCTTCTCTTCTAGTGAATAATTTGTTGTTACTGCTTTAAAAATAATTTCATCTACTTATAACTATATATTTATTAAAATATTTCTTACGAAAAATTTTCTATTATAGCAGAATATAAGAATTAAGGAGAAAAAGCTCCCAAAACACTAAGTATGGCTTGTTCTGTGAACTAATATTAATGATAGAGGGCTATTTCAAGGAAATTTTCTCATAAAATGTGTTTTGGAGACTCAATCCACTCAGAATATTTATTTTTTTGTAATATTTCACTTAAATAGCAAGAAATTTTTAACACATGAGAGTACTCACAATGTCAAAGGTGCATGTACAGCTTCCCATAATACCACCATTGATTTTCCCCTATTAGTTTCTGTTAAATTTGCACTTTTCAAAATATTGTGCAGAATTTATCTTTGTTTCAAATAAAAAAATACTTGGCATGAGTAACGTTTTATCCTGTTCAGTACTATAGATAAAATTTCACATAACATTTCATTGCATATAAGAAAATAACCATCACTGGAAGTTAAACAATCAAATTTTCCCCTTTTATTAACCTGTGTAAAAGCTTTAGAAACCATGTAACCTCAAGTTTCCAAACTATTCTGTAGAAACCCCAAATAAAAAACATAATGGTGCTTTTAAATACCCAAGATATATGTCTATGACCCAGAAATGCTTTACTGCAATGAAATGTAGGACTATTTACCTACAACTGTCAAATTCAAGGGAATATTTTTTTTCGACCTATTTTCGTATGCAACCGGATGTAACGTACTATGATTTGGTGGTATTACACCTGTTTGGGTTGATTCAGAGTGTAATTATTTCTTTATTTCAATGACATCATGGACCACTATTCGAATTCATTACTTTTTTTACATCAGGATCGGTTGTTTTTTGTACAAATAATGATAAATATCAGAGTATAGCTATTAAAATTGTGTGCCTTATTATTTTGATATGCCAATATTTCATCTTTTTATCTAAAATAATGCAATGTTATCTGCAAACTTCTTATCCACTATTTGATTTTAGTACATTTGTACATCAGGATTGGTTGTTTTTCATAAAATATGCTGTGTTTCAGGGAAAATATACTAAAATATTGTTCGCATTGCTTAAAAAAACAAATGTTTTTTCTTTTTTCTCAGAAATAATGCAACGTCATTTGCAATCAGACATTATAATGCCTTGATATAAGTCATTTTGAATAAGATGAGAATAATATAAGGATAAAGTTACATAAGCTTTGTTTTTGTTGAATAGGAATGCATTTATTTTGTTTATTTTGATGAAAATCATGAACCGCCATTGGAATTAAGTATCTTTCGTACATTAGGATGGGTTGTTTTTTACAAATAAAAATATTTATCAGAGAAAAGATAGTAAAATTGTGTTCTCATTGTTTAAAATATGCCAATTTTACTTCATTTTATCAAAAATAATGCACTGTTGTTGGCTATCAGTTATTTTAAATGCCTCTGAATAAATTTTTTTTATGAAACATGAATAATTTAAGGATACATATGCAAAAAGTTAATGTTAATAAGAATGCAATCTTTTCTTTATTTTAATGGAATTTCTTGACTGCAGTTGGAATTTTGTACTTTTTGTTCGTCATAATGTGTTGTTTTTCACAAAATTAAATGAATATTAGAGGAAAGACAGCAGAATGTTGTTCGCATTGTTGACAATTACCAATATTTCTTCTTTTAATAAAAAATAATGCAATGTTATTTGTAATTAGTAATATCAAAAACAATGGAACTTATTAACCGCTTTTGGATTATTGAACTTTTTGTTCATCATAATGGGTTGTTTTCAAAAAATTAAATCAATATCAGTAGGAAGACAATAAATGTTGTTCGTATTGATTAAAATTACTTATATTTCTTCTTTTTATATAAAATAATGCAATGTTATTTTTGATAAGTTATTTCAAAGGCCTCAATTTTTTTTTTTATCAAATTTTGATAATATAAGGATAAACATACTTAAACTTTTGTTTGTGTTTAATAGGAATGAAAGAATTTATTTATTTCAATAGAAATTATGAACCGCCATTTGATTTTAGTACTTTTTGTACATCAGGATTGGTTGTTTTTCATAAAATATGCTGAATTTCAGGGACAAGATAGTAAAATGTTAGCATTGCTTTAAAATGCAATTTTTTTTCTTCTTTTATATCAAAAATAATTCAACGTCATTTGCAACCAGCCATTATAAATGTGTTTAGAAAAGTATTTTTGTATAAGATATAAATAATATAAGGATAAAGATACTTAAACTTTTGTGTGTGTTGAATACGAATGCAATTATTTCTTTATTTCATAGGTTTTATTGTTTAAAAATACCAATATTTCTTCATTTTATAAAAAAATTAATGAACAGTTGTTAGGAATCAGTTATTTTATTTGCCTCTGAATAAAATCTTTTTATAAATGTGAATAATTAAAGGATAAATATGCATAAACATTTGTTTTTGTTAAAAAAGAATGCAATCTTTTCTTTCCTTTAATGGAACTTATTGACCGCCATTGGATTTTTGTACTTTTTAGTTCCTCATAATGGGTTGTTTTTCACAAAATTAAATCAATATCAGAGGAAATACAATAAATGGTGTTCGAATAGATTTAAATTACTTATATTTCTTCTGTTTATCAAAATAATGCAATGTTATTTGTAATAAGGTATTTCAAAGGCCTCAAGATATTTTTTTATTATTAAACTTTGATAATATAAGGATAAAAATATTAAACTTTTCTTTGTGCTGAATAAGAATAAAAGAGTTTCTTTATTTTAATAGAAATTCTGAACCGCCATTTGATTTTAGTACTTTTTGTACATCTAAGGATTGGTTGTTTTTCATAAGATAAGCTGAATTTTAGGGAAAAGATACTAAAATATTGTACGCATTGCTTTCAAATACAAATTTTTCTTCTTTTATATCAGAAATAATGCAACGCCATTTGCAACCAGCCGTTATAAATGTGTTAAGAAAAATAATGTTGTATAAGATAAGAATAACACAAGGATAAAAATATTAAACTTTTGTTTGTGTTGAATAAGAATGCAATTATTTCTTTTTTTCATATATTTTATTGTTTAAAAATACCAATATTTCTATTTCTTTTTGCACATTTGTTAGTAACCAGTTATTTTATTTGCCTTTAGATAATTTACTGTTTATAAAATTTGAATAATATAAGGATTATGATATTCAAACTCTTTTTTGTGTTCAATAAGAGTGCATTTTTTTCCATTTTATTAAGATTTAATTACACAATAACCATTATTGGATATTATTTTTTTTGTTGGGTTGTTTCCCAAAAAATAAAATGAATTTTGAGGGAAAATTAACTTCATATTTTGTTTGCATTATTTTCGAGTCTCCAACTTGCATATTTCATTATTTTATTGACATAATACAGCGAAATTCCAATAAAGGATTATTTGATTTCATTTTTCCAAGTATATTTGGAAATTCTTTTTAACAGTCGAGATAAACACTGTTTAAGCACTCTTTTGGGTTGAAAAAATAACATAAATATAAACGATAATCACAATTCTTTAATAATATTTAAATTTAGTTGTATCTGCATATGTGTTGTCTTTTGATTCTTAAAACTTTGTTGAATGTCGAGCTTCTGTACTTGAACGACTCGTATTTTTCTGGGTCGCAATTTTAATTAAATAATAATAAAACAAAGCTAAGATTCCGTAATTTGTATGAGTTGAACATGTGACGTAGTAGAGTTTAATTCGTCAGAAAGGTCAATCCGTCCGATCCGTCTGATCCGTCCGATCAGTCAGATGTTTTTGCTATAATTCTGACTGATTGGTGACTGATCGATGACCGCTGACTGATCACTAATATATTAACGCCTAAGGTTGCAAGTAATGTATGTTTATACTAACTTTTCATATTAACCTTTTTATAATTTCTCACCTGAGCACTGTGATTTGATGTGCTGTCTTGGGACATTTCTTCCTTCGTTGCAATCAGTTTGTTGGCCTTGTTTTTTTTCTTGACCTTCATTATGATTGCAAACACTTTCTGTAGTTTTAACGGCAATTGATCCTAGTTTCTGAATACGAATGATTTTTGTATTTGTTAATTTGATATCAAAGCGGTGCAATGTGGCCCCAGTTGCCTGTACTTTCTTTTTGATGGTTGACAACTCCTTGATCATACTTTCTCCGAGTCCAAATTTATTATTCGCAAAATCGTAGTTTTCTACAGATGCAAGATGGTGAACAAAATCTTCCAAAGATTTTTGAATAATTAGAAGTTCTTTTTTCTGGGTGCTGTATGCCTTTTTGCATTTGTCTATTTCAGATGATAGATCTTTCTTTAGCTCAGATTCCAGCAGCAACACTCTGGATTCAATTTCTCTCTTGACTTCTGCTATCGCATCAAAGACTTCATTTTCTTGAACTGTGAGGTTTTGGTAGTTTTGTTCAATCGACTCTACCAATTCACTTACTGTCTTTTTCACATCCGTACATTCACATGCCATTTCGTTGTACGATGATGACGGTTGTCGAGATTTATATTTATGATCTGCATCGTGGCCTTTATTCCCACATACCTCGTAGCCTGTAGTTGAAAAGTTTACCTCGTGATGAAGAGTAAACTTGTTACGTTTATGTGCGTCTGCACAAGCCATACATAATGGCTCCGAGCATTCAGTACACCATGCAACTGTACTGTTGTCCATGCCTCCTCTTTTGCAAGACTCGCATAGTGATTGAACTATCAGTTGATACCTACATCGAGAAATAATTAAGCTTTGATGTATATCAAAACTTCATAATTGGTATAATTCTTATATGCTTATTGTATGATTTATTTTGCATTAACATTCTTCACTCTAATATAGCGTTACGCGAATAGTATTGTGAATAAATAACATGTTCACGAGATATGAATGTGTAATATTTTGATAAACGTACCTATTTAGCACATAAATAAAACAGAAAAAAGTGATCCTCGCATCAACATGTGGGTATAAATGTCAGGTCTATGCATTAGATATTTCAAAGGTTAACTTTGTCTCATCAAACGTATTTAAGCACTATGAAACTAAATGTTAGTTCTACCCCTACGTATTTTGTTTTTGCTACATCCTGTTTCTACTATATTTAGGGAAACCTCGATAAAGATAAAAAAATCATTGAGATTATTATTTAACACATTACGTAGAAATCTTTGTAAAGTTTTAATATAATATCGATTTTGAACTGAATTCGATAATTAAAGCACATTTTTGACATACGATCGTTATTGTCAAATGTGGCAGTATGTGTTACGAACTGGAGAGTACACGTAAGTTTTTTGCTTAATTTTCAATCAATGTTCAAAGATTTTAATACCCTGATTTCCCAAATATTTCATGATATTGCAATGTTGTATTAGAACATAACGTGATAACGATTAGAGATAAAACATAGCAAAACATGAAAATAAAACATTAAAAACATTTCAGTCGACAAGTCAATTATAAAACTAAATTGAGATATATGTCTTTTTATTTACATTCACAAATGATATCCACGCTGGTGTAAACAAATATGATCCATTTTGTGCGCCTGTCTTTATGTTCACCTGTAAATATTATCTTTACAAATTTCCATGGTAAGGGCAGCTATTCATTTTAAGAATATAAGCATTTCAACTATATAAATTACCAAGTTGAACATAAATATTTCTATCTAACCGCTAGAATACAAACATGTATATGAAATTTAACCAATTGTTTGTGTAAGAAATTGCGAATCATTGAATGATTTCGGATTTTACTCTAGATGCACTCAAAAGATGTAAATTAAAATTCACTTCATTCACAAAATCGTATAGAAGTGAATAATTGAACGTGTGTAAAACTACTCACCTGAGAACTATATTAACATCCGTTTAACTAGAACTCTTGATTTCAAATTGATCTTGATAAGAATTAATTTTCTTTTCGGTCAATATTCCTCCAACTTTAATCATACTCGATGATTTCTAGAGGAAATCATACATCCTCCACAAACCTTATCTAAAATGTGTACTACATGTATATTTGAGATACGATGATGGTCAGTGTATTGACCTAAAATGCAGATGAGGGCGATTTTGGTAATGCCAATAAATGAAAGACAAAAGTGCAAATACAAACAGTAAAAGTCCAAATACGGACATTACAAGTGCCTTTTAGGGTAAAATTTATGCATAATCAGAGAAAGTATCACATGTCAACTAGAAAAGAAACTCAAGATAGCCATTCGTAACTGTAAGCATCATAAACGTAATCCAGTCCATCACTAAAGGGCGTCAACGTCTTCAAGTAAGAATAAATTTTTGTATGTAATTGAATAGCAAAAAGACCGAGTTTTTTTTTCTAATCAGATAGTAAGAAACGTCCAGATGACTGTTATGTATTTGATCCGTTTGAAATCTATAGAAGAGCAGAGTCTTAGACAAAATTGTCTAATGTATTAAGAACACTGTATGATATAAAGGGTATAACGAAGAACTTGATTTTGGAAGTCAAAACGGACTGTACGATTCCTATAAGCAATATAATTGCGTCGACGGAAATAGACAGGTATGTGAATAAAAGCTTTGCACAAGGAACAAAGTTTTATTTAATCGTTATTAACAGCAATATTTTTGACAGAGGTAGAGAAATCAAACAAAAAGTTACCATTGTCTTATTCAAGTAGATGTCATTGGTATTATTCAAAAGGTTTTAATTGTCATTTGAAATGTTTACTCTGTTTGTTTATCTGAACGATGTAAGTCTGTGATTAGCAGAGTATTACGTAAATATCTTGAGTTCTTCAATGATAAGGTTGGCTATACTACATTGTTGAAAAGTTCTCACGCAAATTTTCTACGAAACCAGTAAAAAATACAATGAACATTTTCATTTGTTACATACTAAACGCTGTTCTAAACACTAATCATCTATTTTTTTTATAAGTCTAGTATTGATCATAGGCATATTAAATAATGCACGAGCCCTAACCAATCTGAACCAGTCTGAAGACTGTCTAGATAAAAGAAAAATCAAATGAGGTATGATTGCCAAAAACACAACTCTCCACCAGTGAACTATTGACGTAGATCAGCTTCAGAACAAACTTGTTTCTAGAAATAGAGTTGCCTTAATGTTCTGAAATTAGTATTTTTGTTAAGATGGAAGGGGCAGAAGACCTGTCACATTCATTCACACGCCTTTGGAATTTCGTTCCTTGCCTGTATTCAGGAAAGTCCTATTTATTTTAATATGACGACTAGGAATTCGTCTCGAAGTTGTTAGGACAATATCCTGATAATAAACAAACGTTAAGATATTTACTCGTTAGATGCACAACTTATGTGTTAACTTGTGAAAAGTTGATAATTAGCAGAAAAAAAACATTTCCGTCAAATCGCCACAAATGTTTTTCAAAGGATTTTATATTGAATTCTTTAGAGATAAGTGCTCCGTCAACCTCAAAATCAAAAATAAAATTGTGAAAGTAGAAATATCAGTTTTAAAACTCTTTAAATTGATATGAAAACTGTCAGCTTCAATCAAAGCATTTTCTCCAAATCCCCTTTATTACAGACATTTACAGGTAAAACAACGTCAAAAGATGCTAAATTCCGACACCATATTACAATTCATAACTGGCATTGTCCAAATATTTTTAAAATGAAGCAATTAATGTTATTGACAAAGGAACCACAGAAGGTTCTCGACTACAGTCATAAGTTGTTTTCCTTTACAATGTTCGAAAGTGATAATAATAATAATAACAATAATAATAAAAAAAAACAATTGTTCAGAGAACAATTGAAGGTCTTTCCACCCGAAAAGATCTATTTTGATAAAACAATATTAAAATTCGGTTTAAAATGTTATTTCCAGCGTCAAATGATAGCTTATTGTACGCTAGTTTAAAAAAATATATGGTCTCTAGACATTTTTTTTTAAAATAAGGAAGATAATTTGTTACTTCCGGTTTAAAAAATGTCACTTTAGGTATTATTTGATAGTTTACCTGACACTGATTCCAAAGATATATGGTTCTATATACTTGTACATTACATAAGTACAAAAAATAGCTACTTCCAGTTTGCACAAGGTCACTTCCGGTTGGCTCTCCAAGGTCATATGGCTTGCAACCTAATGCGTAAAGTCCCATAGCTTTATCATGTATACATATGAAGTAAAAGTCAAAGTCAAAATCTAGAACGTCAAATTTACCAATGACATTGAGCTCAATTTGAAGGTCATAAATCAAGGACCTAAAATCAAAAGACACTAGGTCTTTATTATATATGGTGAATGAGTTATTTCACCATACTCGTAAGTTTAAATCTAAGAGGGGAGAAAACTCCAATTTAATGTTAGCGTACCTTTTTAACAAAAATAGATGTGTTACGACATGTCGCAACTAACAATTTAGTAAACATATGTTGTTGATATCTTATACGGTTTTTGAAAAGAACGGAAATCAAGCCAAAATCTGAATTTAGAATATGACCGTGACCTCTGACCTGGAACTAATTTTCTTTTTTTTTTTGGACCAAGGACCTCAAATCAAAAGACCTTAGGTCTCTTTCACTTAAGGTTTACCAGTTAGAAATGCATCTCACTTATATCAAATGCATATGGGGGAATAACTCTCATATGGAGTCTCCGGATAGCTTCGGTCAAAATGAAACGTAACATCCTGAGGATATAATGAGCATTTTGGAAAAAAAAATGTCGCTTTCATTTACGGTTGCGAAGGAGATCTCATAACACAGAAATGTGTTCGGTTAAACAGGGTCAGTTTCAAAAGCGTATAGACTGTATGATATTGTATACAAGAAAGAAATAAGCGACATCTTTTGAAACAAAAATACAGCGCAAGAAAAAATTTGGCGGAAGAAAAAAAAAATAATCAGAACAAAACCAATAGGTCTTTTCACGGAATAATAATAATAATAATAATAATAATAATAATAATAATAGTTCATGCAGTATAACCCTTCTTAATAGAGTTTATACAGACAGACATGAGTATAAAAATGACTTTAATCATAAAAAAAATGAGGGGCAGTGTCACAAATAGGAAAGACGACAACCCCAGCGCTTTGGACATTTCGTTTTCGGAAAGACATGGTGTTGAATTCAGATTTTATCCCAGGTCGAGAAAAACAGATTGCTTGTCCGGGTTTGATTATATTCTTGGTCCATTTTGTCGTGATTCACCCGTCAACATTTGTTTTTAGAGTTTGAAAATCAAAATATGTTGACCTCGATTATTATTGCAGAGACATTAGTTGTCGAAATGCGCATATGATACATTAATATTGGTATCGTTTAATTCATTGCAGATTGAGAGCCAAGACATCATAAGGACCCCTGTATACTGGATACTACATACACATCTGTTTTGCGTCCGGATCCATGATAGATAGCGTTGAATGCTTTTCTACATCCATGGACACGTTTGAAATGTCAGGAATTTCCTAATTATACTGAAAAATCGTTTGTCTAACAAACTTTATAGCAGAGTAAACGACTGAAGTTGTCGTTACACCAAACCCCGTTTATAGTTCAGCATAAAATAAAAAAGGTTTTTTTTTTCATTTTGATTGTTTCATATTATATTATGTCGGTTCCTTTTATGGCGTACTATACAGGTAGGTTTTTGCTAATTGCTAATTGTTAAAAGGATTTATGGTGACCCATAATTATCAACATCCTTAGTTTCTGATGGATGATTGTCTCATCGAAAATTGTACCAAATCTCTGAAATTCTTATTTTACAACACGTTATCGTTCATTCGAGTCTGGTTTGGATATATTTTAATTAGGGATATTTTTCAAGATCAGACCTTGAACAAACACTAGTTCAGCGTGGTCAAGACCGAGATTTAAGAACTGCAAAAACTGTAAATAATTATTACATTTGACTGTATCATCTTTTAGAAACAATATGATTGCCATGAAAGCAGAACAATCAATATTAAAAAATCAAAGGAATGTTAGATATATCCCTCCCCTCTCTCTTCTTTTTAAATTCAAAGCAGAGAGATTCTACCACATAGTATGTTCATAATTTAAACGCTTGAATTGTTTTGAATATTTAAGGATGTACTCAGGTCAGGTTTATGAATGTTTGTCAAATGTTCGAATTTCGACTCCTATGTTTTTTTCTAATATAAAGGGCAAAATATTTTACCCCATATCGACCACTTTTCTTTTTATTGAAGACTTCAACAGCTCATAAAAAGGTCATTACCAACATTTATGCCAATTAAATATTTTTCTATCGATTGGAGACCCAAATAATGTCAAAGCCTAATGAAAGGTAAAAGTCTGAGTCTGCCTTTTTACCGCCATTTAAAGAAAATAAAATATTAAGGAGTTACATAACCTTTAAATATGTTTAGCTTATTTCTTTCATTAACTAATGCTCTTTTAATTTAGAGTATCAATTTTACATTTTAGATGTTTTTAATCTCATCTCACTACGTCTTTAAAGATTATAAGGATTAATGGATAAAATAAACACAAATAAACAACAAATCATACTGATTATTACACTTTAGTCTAATAAAAAATAACAACAACAGGTAATGCTTTAAGAAAGGTTCGTATTTAAACACCATCGTATTGTGTATTTTTATTCAAACCAAATTACCCAATTATTAAATTGAGGAAGTTTTTATTTTCAGTCTTATTCATGATTTGTAAGACATTTATTTCAATTGGTTATATTGATTAGGTTTAAGACATATTCATATACTGTGGATTCATTTATTTTCGTGGGTATCAATTTTCGTGGATTGAGAAAAACTTACACTTTCGTGGATATTTAATTTTGAGGTTAAGCTAAAGTCTGCCTACACCCCTAATTTTGTGGTTCACCTGTACCCACGAAATCCACAAAAATTGGTATCCAACGAAAAATAATGAATCCACAGTACTCCTGTTCTAACATTGTTATGTAAATTGTTCAATTAAAAAAAAGGAAAACTCAGTATAGTTAAGCATTATTTTACATTATGATATTTTGCCAAAATATTGATCAGTTCTATCTCAACATTAACGCTTTGTTATGGTATAATGCATATAAAAGGTGTATGTACACTATACTAAATTCCAATTCAGTAATCATGTGGTTTTTCTATTTGATTTGTATTTAAAGAAAGGGTAGTTAATGGCTTCCTAAACTATGTTTAAGAGAGTAAATATGTTTGTACTTTAATCGTGTTTTGTTATCTCATCCATGTGTATGGTCGATTGAACTTTTGATAAACACGATTCAAGAAAATAGTAAAATATATGAGAATCAAAGCAGGAAAAAATGTATTTGGGATCAAATGGCTATAGGAGAATAATATGTGCCATAATCAAAACACTATCATTTACTTAATCGCAAAGCAACTACAATAAAGATGTGCCTATTTGTTAAATTAGAAAACAATACAAAATATCAGATGAAAATAAGATGTACTCACGTATGTGACAACGTTATTTTATTTAATCTATGCGCCGCTGTACAACTAGGACATAAAAACTCATCACAAGATTGACAAATTGAAATTGCATCGATATTTTCTTTGATTCTCAAACACGATTGGCAGAGTTTATTCGTTGGCTCCATTTTATGAACAAAATAATGCGAAAGTTGTTCATATAGGTCTTTCTTATGAAAGCAATTGTTAATATAGCATGGCGACTGCTAAAAACTGATGGAAAATTTCAACACCATATCGAAATACGCAGTTACATTATTCAAGGTCTGGTTAACAAAAGTATATGTCCTCAATATGAATCACTCGAATATTTAGTTTCACTGTGTCGAATTTCAATCCAATGAAATTAACCGAAATTTATATCAATGCATAGTTTTACAGTAACATGCACTAATTGTGTATATTTAAACTTCCTGATTGAGACATTGTGAATAAGAAAGGCTATAAGTATTTAAATACAAGTTTGTATATTATATGCTTAATTTCATATTCGCCAAAAGTCAGGAAAAACAATAAAAATTTCTTTAGAATAAAAGATCATTTCGATGTATTAACATGTATGTATGAGGAACATATTAAGGATTTTTATTTCATTTTCCTCACAGTACAGAATCAGAGGTTATAATTGAATCATTTTATATTTGTAGGAACCTATAGTGCGATTGGGACTCTAAAAGGCGATGGTTTCGCTAAAGTACGATGGCCTACGCTAAAGTGCGATAGTTTGATGCGCTAAAGTACGATGGTCTGTGCTATTTGATAGAACACGTTAAAATCCGATGCCGCGATAGCTAAAGTGCGTTTTTCCGCGAAAGTGCGTTTGTTTGTAAAAGTATGTACATTTGCAACGTTAAATAGCATTTTGACGTTACAAGCCTTATGTACAAACGAGAATGTTAGTGCGTTTACTGGGAAAAAAAGATAGAAAAGAGAAACAATTGATCCCAATCCGTGAAATAAAAAGATAAAAGCTACTTTTTTACTTTTTAATTGAATTATTTTTTTTTTTAAATTTTACATTATGGTTTGTCATGTCTGTTAAAGAGATGGATACTCGTCGACCTAACGACTAGAGGTGTAGTATCATAATATGTTTGCCAGAGACAGGTTTCTATCCAAGACTAAATGTCATTAATGTAAATCACGTAAGGGTACCCAAATTGCACCCATTTTGACATTTTTTTCACCGTCGTTTTTTTTTTATGATCCAGACAAAAGTTTCCATTCTGGGTTTTTTTTTTTTTTTTGTAGGCGTATCCTTATTTACTATATAGCTACACCAATTTAATTTTGAATCCATATTGAATCATAGAAAAATGGGTTAGAACCGACCTCCAAACGATCCATGATTCTGTAATGAGGAGTACCCAAATTGCATCCATGCTTAAATTCACATCCTAACAAATCGAAAAACAGACGTTTTGTTATATTTCTGCAAATATTTAGAACAATTTGAAATTAGTCCATGCTTACTATTCATTTTTTAAGAAATGGATGCTTGTAACATATCTAATTTGTTAATTTTCAAAAGATGACTTTTTGTGAACGTCGAATGGCGACGCTTCCGTAGATTTACCTTTTCCAGTGAATGGTTCATCTATTGATATGAATAGTGAACGTTTTGTGTATTATTCAAATTTCCCTTATTCTTACTCGATGTATCCATTTCTCGACCTTTTGATTTTTTTTTATTTAATCAACGTGTGGTTCATTTGATCTCAGTTCTTCATTGGTCAAAATTCGAATATGACGTGAATTTTTCTTGCTTTCCTCTGAATTTCCTATTGTGACGTCATGAAAAAAGGCGACCATGCCTGATGACGTTACATAGAAAGAACGCATATTTTTGTAGGTCGTCCGAAAAGAAGGCAAAAGATTGTCTGCATATTGTTCAAAAGTCTTTAGAAAAAGAGAAATTACCACCAAATCTCGTTCAATACGATATTTATCCACTCTCGACAGTTAACGAGCCTCGCGTTTTAAATTTGAAAATTTTACTGACTCGAGTGGTTAAATGTCGTATCATACTCGATCCAGTGGTAGAATCTATATATATCTTATATCTATTTTGGCTTTTAACGCGAGCGTTGGCTTACCCCGAGGATAGTGTTTAATAATGACCAAGGGGTATCAAAGCGTAAAACAATTCGAACGAGAAAAAATAACGGACTTATTTATATAAAAAAAAAACAATCAACAAAAAATAAGATGTAGTGTAATTTTCAATGAAACAACTATCCACCAAAGATTAAATGTCGTTGATGTATGCACCTAAAAACATTATGATTTACAACATGGAGTCTAAATTGGCCCACACCGCATAGAACGCTTTTTAGGACCATAAATGACTAGTGTAAAACAATTCAAAACAGAAAGGCAACGGATTTATAAACAAAACAATATAAAAAAACCTTAATGAAACAGCAAAAAAAAAAAACATTGCCTGAACTCTTCGCAATTAAGCGTATTAAACTATCGCATTTTAGCATGTCATATACCACCGCACTTTAACGAGTCATAACATCACACTTTAGCATGTTATCTGATCGCACTTAAACAAAAACATCAATCGCACTTTAGCGTCTGAGACCATTGCACTTTAGCAGAGACCATCGCACGTTAGCGTGACTATCGCACTTTAGAGTCCTACATATTCATTTATATTTTTATTCAATAATTAATTGTTATCATTGTGGATATCGTAACTTAAAGGGACACTACCTACGATTTTGATTAAAAAGTAAAATGTGATTTTTCTTTTATCAAATATTTATAAATCGGAAAATTGAGATTTCATTTTGCTGTAAGCTGTTATTTTGTTCAATTTGTAACAAAGTGTAAAATCAGCGCAAATAGATTTTTTGCTTGCAAGTCTTTATATCTACTCAATATAAATCATCGGACACATTATACATGTAATAACAAGTTTATGCATTGTAATTTTTTTTTTTTTTTTTTTTTACTTTCTGTTATTTGGATGTACGTTTTAGTTCGTTAATACAATATGAAAATTTAACTCTAATCAGTGAATTTGTTAGCTCGTGGCCTTTTAAGAAATGGAGACTTATGGTATCGTTTAGCGTTTTATATAATGAATGGAACATGGTATCGTGAAGCGTTTCGTTTATCGTATGATATATTATCTTGTTTAGCGTTTCATCTATCGTATTGTATATATAAGTTTACGATATCTTTTTTTATTATTTTCAGTAAGATTTCTTTTTTGCTTAGAGAGCCAATCGGGACACGTTATGATCATAGTATATAGGCACACAAAAACATAAATGAAACAGTTGTAAGCTGTGTACATCAGTGAATTTTAAAAAAGCGGTTTAGACAAACTGGATTTCTGGTAAATTCTTTTTATTCCTTTTCTTCGTAATTAAGATATGTGCCACTGATAATATATATAGTCATTCATGTATAATCTAAACAATGTTGATTGTGCTTATAAAAGTCCTATTGTTTTCGGCAATATTGTAACAATATGGGTTTATCCTTCCATATTTAAAAAAAATATCCCGTTATCTAATTTATTCTATTTTTGTTGTACATGTATAATATTTTAAATTGATAACAATATAATATCATCTATTTTTAAGCATTATTTTTATGGATCAGGTACGCTACAACCTAAAGAAGGATTTTTTTATAGACATCCCCTTTTCTGTTTTTTTATACAGAAATGAAATCCAATCACCATATATAGGCGTAAATACTGACATTTGTACGATCAAAAAGAAAAAAAAAATACACTTCACCAATTATATATATAAGACAAAACACGTAATAGTTTTCTCAAATAACAGAAACAACAAGCAACCACTGATTGAAATGATTTGTAAATGTCTAGGAATGATAAGAAATTTTGAAAACCTAGCAAAAAAAAAACAGTATATCTAGATCCAAAAAACTAGTGCTACACAGGTGAATTCATCTCAAACAAGGTTATATATGAACTCGTATGAAACTCGTGTGAATGTCACGTAAAAATCACCAGATTTTTTTTTCACGTGATTAACGAGAATTTTCAAAATAAGGTCCTTCACATAACATCTATTTTTTTCAAATTTTATTGAAAGCATGAAACATGTCATTATTTTGTAAAGTTTACGTGTAATTCAAGAAAAAAAAATCCCCGTGATATTGATGTGAATCTCGATTCACGTGAAATTCATCTGAGTTTCACGAAAAAACTTGTTTAACGTGAATTGCAGATAAAACTCTTCACGTGTATTTAACGTTAAATTCATGTAAAATTCACTTTTTTTAATCATTTGAATATTAAAATAAGAATTCAATTGTCATAATTTAATGCACAGATTGTAAATAGAATAATTTTCAACTACATCCAATCAACCAAGTACAGTCTGAAAACACAGTGTTTAGTCTTTATTGTGTATATACGGTTTAAATACCAGTAGATTACTGGTAACCCATCCAACGAACGCATGGTGCACTCAGTTCCCGTTCCCTTTTAACAACTGCGTTCAGGTCTGTATTTGTAATGCAAACTTAATATTCAAAACTACTATTTGTTTTGCATATTCAAGATAAAACCGGTTTGATGAATTTAACAAGCAAAGACAAAATAAAACAAATTAAAAAATTAAAAGAATGTCCACAATTACTGACTTTTGTGTCCGATTATATATAATAATTTCTGACTACACGTACTATAAATAGTACTGAAAGAAAGGTCTAACATTTTCCGTTTGCACACAAATAAGTTGCATTATACAAATTCAATGACCTCAATATAAACAATACAAAGTCCGTCTTAAAAGTTCTATACATTTTTGTGTTTTACATTGAGTGTACATACACTAATTTGATTACACATTGTACAATGTTGTAAACCGTATAGACATTATATTGATATTTAGATTTGAAAATTGATACTAATTAATATCAAGTTTAATCGAATAATATTACCAAATCAAAAGATAGGGTATATTATGTCTGTCTTCATTATATGTTAGAGAGTATATGAAATGGTTTACACTTTGACCATGTTTTGTTTTCACTTCAGATTTCATAACAAATTGTATCTTTAAAAGACTTTGTCAAAACCACTAAATTAAATATCCATGAAATACATTACTTCCTTAAACCCCAAAAATAAACAAATCTACAGTAATTAAGATAAATAAACTTTTTTGAAAAGTTTTCATGTACTCAGCAAGTCCTCATGTTTTTGCTAAATTTGTCAACTTTAATTTGATGTTCATGCATAACAATATATTGGTCGCGACTTATTTTGTTCAAGTAGATCATAAT